CCCCCCCCCCCCCCCCCCCCGCCTGTAGGGAAACTCAGCAGGAAAGGGGGCACCAGCCTCTCTCAACCGTGACAAGGCCAGGCCTCTCCTGGGAAGAGAAAAGGCAGACTGTGAATCCTAACCCCTGCTCTGTTTTTTGACAGACTGGGCTGGTGGCTACTCGTTGGCAGCCAGCTGGGCAGACCCTCTTCCAAAGACAGGTCCAAGCAAGGGAAAAATGAGACGGGCGTGTCTGGGCTTCCTCTTCTCTCCAGCTACCAGGGCCTGCCTGTTGGAATCAAACTGGGAAGGACCCCCCTGCAACACCACTGGGCTTCAGGATTTTCTAGGGAAGGCCAACATCTAAGATGTTGACATCTAAGAGGACAACCAGCCCTAGACAAAATACGTGCCCCAATATGATGAAAAGAGAAACTAAAATAAGAATGCTGAGAACGCTCTCCCTAGGTCAGAGCCATGAGCCAACTGGAGAGCCCTGGGTAGGATCTGGGGGAGCACATGAAGTGAGCTGGATCAATGATTTCACAGGCTAAAAATCACCTGGACAATTTGAAACATTTTACTTCAAGAGACCCTGATCAGCTCCAGTTGGAAAAGCAGCAGAACTGAGCCATGGAAACCTGTAAATAGATTAAGATGCCCTCATGTATCCCAACGGACTGCACGTCTAGGGCATTAGCAGGACGTTTGGCGTGTGCAGGCCCCACCACCAGCATCAAACATGAGAGCAGACATTTAATCATCTCTGAGGACCTGCAAGCGACTTATGGGCCAAAAATTTCATGGCTGTGGGATGGATTCTATTCAGTTTCCTGTAATAGCTGGACTTTTACTGTCTTTAGCCAGATGAGTTGTAGCCCAAATATGTTGGTTATTCATTATACACTTGCCTCACTGCCACCATTAAATAATCAAATCAAATATAGCATTATGTCAGGGTGAGGTCCAAACCACTAACTTCACATCAATTTTGCAAATCTTTTTTCCTATTCCTTTAACCTCTTGTGAAAAGCTGGAGTTTATCATCTCTTTATAACAGAAATCAAAGTCTAACTTCCCCCATCTTAAATTTCTGTTGATAATGCCATTACTAATGAATTAAACCCGTTACAGATACACACTTACATACACGCTGTACTGTGTTTGTTATAGTAACTGTGTCACAGGAAAAAATGTGTTTGGCTAAATAAAAAGAATATATGGCTGTTTTGCATAAGATTGGAATGAAAACGATAACCACAAAAATGGGCGAAATATCTTTCTAGCCAGATTGAAGAGGAAAATAAATTACGACTGTATCGTTGTTCCCAGTGACATTATGTGTCTCTTTAAGAATCTGGTTCTCTCTAGACCAAAGGGCAGGGCCAGCACAGACTTGTAACCTGTAGGAGGGGCACATAGCCACAGCCTCCAGGGACTGGCCAGACCAACGTCTCATGCAGTGTCCTCAACTAAGGTCCCTGGCCCAACCCTGCCCACCTTTCTCCACCCCTCTCCCTTGATCCACCTCCCCTTAGGCTCTTGCCCTGAGGCTGCCCACTGCAGCAAGACCAGGAGTTAACTGGTGGGAGGTTTCTGCCATTTGGTTACCAGTTTATGGAAGTAACTCACAGGAGGGCGATAAAAGGGCCACTACTGAAGATAATTTACTTAAAGCCTCAAAAAGCAGACTTCTGCAAGTTTCATTAAAAAGCTATTTAAGCAGATTTCTTATTGTGAAAAATGAACAAATGCTTTGGAAAAATCATACACAAAAGTCATGCCAATAGCAAGACGCTCAACTTTCCTAGCATGCAGGGAAATATAAATTAAAGCCACAAGGAAATACTAGTACACACTCTTTGGGTAGGCAAAAATTGAAGTGTTGCCTTGGCCTGGAGCAACTGAGATTCAGCATACAGCAGGAGTGTAGATTAGCCTCACCCCCTTGCAGAAGTTTGCAACCTGAAGACCCGGCAATTCCACTCCAGCTCTTATCCCCCAGAGCTTTTCCACCATATTATGCATGTGGGTAACCTGGGGATCTTGTTAAATGCAGATTCTGAACTGGTTGCCCTGAGACTGGGCCCAAGAATCCGTATTCCTAACAAGCCACAGGAGATACCCATGTTTTCTGGGGCCCAACTTTGAGTAGCAAGTCCTTAGCCAAGTTCTTCCACGGGTGCACTAGGAGACGAGCTAAGAATTCACAGCAGCACTAGGGAAATAGCGAAATACCAGAAAAATAAATGTAAAGTCCTTAGATGTTGACATTGGAACCTACAAACAATTCTTAAAGATGTAAAAAGCCAATCTCCCTGAATGGTAATTTTCCATTTAAAAAAATGGAGGAAAAGCAGGGGTTGGGCACGTACAAGAGGAAGGAGAGCCCACCTTATCATGCCACTAATCCCCCGAGGGCCGGGGACCCAGACCTCAAGGCCTTGCTCCTGAGGTTCTGAAGTAGTCGGACTCGGAGCATTCCAGATATCCAGAATTTAAGATTTTCAGCAGAACATTCTAATGTGCACCTAGGGCTGAGAATCATAGCTCAAGAGCCTTGTTACTTCAAGTGTGTACAAGGACCAGCAGCATGAACCTCATCTAGGAGCTGATCAGGAGCAGACTCTCAGTCTACCCATCTTACTGAAGGAGAACTGCATTCTCCCTTGATCCCACCCACCACCCAACTTGTGTTATTTTCCTTCTGGGGAAAAATTCCCATGGGAAATTAAAGCAGATCATATAAAAGAGGCAGGGGCTGAGAGGCTGCAGGCTTTGCTGTAGTGTTCTTCACCCTGGGAAGCAGCATGTCAATGTGGCAAGCAGAACCACTGAGTCCAGCATGCACAGCCCATACCCCAAACACCTCCCGTGTGAACCTCAAGGGTGGCACTAGTTGGGGGCTCTCTGAGTTTGAGTTCTTCCTGAACGCCCTGCCTTCCTGGAGTCACTCTCCTTTCACTTTTGGGAGACAGAACAGGGGGAGGCAACCAGGCTCCCTTCTAGTAAAACATCACAAACCCCTTTCCCTGTCACCACATCTTATTCTGGGAGGCAAAGCCAGTGGAGACTCAAGCTGTTTCTTGAGTGACCCAGCGGTAGGCTGAAGCTTAGGGGCTGAGCTCTCGCCCGAAACACTGAAGGTCACAGCCAATGCAGGCAGAAGTCAAACAATCCACAGGGGTCCCATTTCTCCCTGGAGAGCATTCTTGTGGGAGTTGGCACAGCACCGACAGGGGCAACTCCACACCCATGAGCTCAGTGGGCAGGAGCAGGCAGTGGGCTCAGACTAAAGGGAAAAATCAGTCCCCTTGATGAAGAGGAATCCTTTATTTGGTGGGAAGAGAACAAAACTGGTCAACCTCAGCTAACACTAAATATTTTAAGCATCCTAATGACCATGACATCACTTGCTACCCCTGGTTTTCACCTTCAGCATGCTCGTGTGCAGCAGTGATTCCCATGGGGAGCCAGTCTCCAGCTCAGCAAGTGGCCCCTGATGTTGGCTGAAGGGCAGAAATACAGCCTCCAGCAAAGCATCCACGGGAGTACATGGTAGTGAGCCCCAATGCACCCACCCCTACATACCAGAGATATTTCAGGGCCTTTCGGACCTTTCTGGGGACAAAGTGTGAATTGAGCAGAGCCTGGACAGATGTTGTGGCAGTTCCCTTCCTCCACAATGGCCAACGTTGATAGTCAAGCTGGAAACCTTTTGTTAACAAGGGCAGATGGGCGCTCCAGGCAGCTGCTGACAATTCACCGGAGCTGGCCTCTGAGTCTCTGCCCTTCCTGGGTCACATAGCATGGAAGGGTAGATCCCTGCAGGGGTGAGTCCCTCACCCCTTCTCAGATGCACTCACGGGATTTCCGGTTGGCCCGGGATCGCTTCCTCTCCCGCGGCACCACTCGCTGACTGGGCACTTGGGTGGCCGACTTGACGATGCGGTCCATGATCTCATCGGCTGCATCATCTGTGACGTTAGGTGAGTCATCAGTTCCCATAGTCCATGAACTAGTGGTTCCTGAAAAATTAAACCACCAGAGAGTGCAACGTTCTCAGAGAGGAGGAAAACAAAAGAAAATACACAGCACTGCTCCTCCGAGCAGCCAGGTTCTGTCAGCAATGGATCACAGCAAAGGCCAGAGTTACAGCTTCAGAACATCAGTTCCCATAGTCCATGAACTAGTGGTTCCTGAAAAATTAAACCACCAGAGAGTGCAATGTTCTCAGAGAGGAGGAAAACAAAAGAAAATACACAGCACCGCTCCTCCGAGCAGCCAGGTTCTGTCAGCAATGGATCACAGCAAAGGCCAGAGTTACAGCTTCAGAGTTAGTGGCAGATCCAGAACACTAACCTGTCCCCACTGCAGGGGGCACCACTGTAACCCATGACCACTACCCCCAGACTCTGAACAAACCCATACTCAGGGCACTTATTTCTCATTACCCTCTACCACAGTTGTGTTCTTATCTCTCATTACTTACTTTCTTCCCCTGGGTGTATTGTCTACACCTGCCAGAACTCATGATCACCTGCCCTCAGCTGATCACAGGACTTGCCACATCACCAGTATCCAGCAGTATACATCCAGTAACGTACAAAGACCCACCAAGAGATCTGTTAGGTCAACTCTGTCAGTGGTTATGTGCGCCTAGTGGATGTCAACTAATCTTAACTCCCGTTAAGCTAAATAGAAACCAATGGATTTTGTAATACATAGTTTATCTTTGGATTACCCAGACTTTCAAAGTCATAATGGGATTACCCTCTTCAACCAGCAAAAGTTCTGTTGACATAAATTTTTCTTTGGCACATTCATCTGCTCCCTGACCAGAGAAAATGTATTTATAACTACACATTAAGACACTCCGAGTCTGGTATAAAGGCATCTGTCTATCAACAAGCAAGAATCCAAAACATGGATTCTCAAGTAAGGTTCACTACCTATACTTCATTTTGTAATAATTGTACAACAACTTCAAAAGCCTATATGTAAGGGTTCTCAAACTCATTGCCTATGGGACACAGCTACCCCAGCCTGACTAAGGTCCAACTGAAGCTGAAGAACAGCCAGCTTTTCCCAATTCAAAGGGGAAAAAAAATGTTAAGAAACAAGTATTTAAAGCTTTTGAGTTCTTCTCCCATACTAATTTTTTTAAAGTTTTGGTGCTTGCGACCACCTGGTTGGTGACGAATGAACAAAGAAAAAATGGATATCAATGGATACAGGTGGGAACAGTGGATCACAGTTTAGTGGACTTGTGATTTTCATGAACACGTGTGTCTGTGGTTGAAATTTTACTACAATATATGTAATGCGCTATAATGTAGTCATAATTTCTGCTAGTAAAATCCACATGACTGAAAGAAATATGTAAATAGTTCACACTTTGCAAAAAGACTGCCAGGACTCCAGGTGCTCCATCACCTGCACTTATATGAGACCTGTGGCTATAACACAATGGTGATTTCAAATGACAAGGATTTTTGGTGGTGTTGATACAGTTTTTAAAATTAGTTTTGACTGGTTTTTTTTTAAATAGGGGAGTACCTACAGCATCAGCATGTGCAAAAACAGTAAATTGTACTTTTTCTGCTTATACCCAGGGAATTTGACCTACTTGCTCCTATGAGAAGACAAGTTTGTTTCAGCATCATAAAACCCTTTGAAAAACAGGCTATTCTCAAAAGTGAATTTTTGGAATTGATGAATTTTTCTGCATCCTCAGGATGGTCTAGGTGTTGTAATTGGAGGCGAGAGGGCTCACATGGCACAGCTTTCAGATTGGGACTGTGTAGAGCCTCTGAACAATGCCTTCCTCAAAGTAGAGCAATAGATAGCACGATTGTGTTTTACCCAGCAATTTCCTGTTTTCCCTTTCACCTATTGATTTATAATTTCTGTGTCTTATCTTGAAATGCCAAACTACCCTTCCCCAAACATACAAAGCTCAATCAATTGTATTTGCTCATAACGCATTTTCAGAGCACTGGGTGAGAAATGAAGGCATTATCTAATCCTCCCTCTAAGAATTACCCAGTTTACCCATCCCTAGGGATCTGCTTTCAATGTAATGTGTCAGGAGATGCTCAAAAGGAACATTTTGCCATAGGTCCAGGATTCTCCTCTTGCTGACTGTGTCACTGCCTGATGATCATTTATTCCCATTTTTCCTGGTCATGTATATGTTCCTCTTCCTGAAACCTTTGTACCCACACATAGCCATCAGGTGAACACTGCCCACACCTTTTACATACCCACAAGGCCATTTGGCTCATCACAGTCTCCCAAGCGTTAGGAAGACATTTATATATACTGAAATGTGGAGGGGATAACCACCACATTCTAGACTGTAACAGCACAATATCATCTTATTTTTATTTCATTTTTTAAAATATGGAAATTGTAGTTTGAAAGAAAACATGGTAATTTATTATTCCCCTTCTAGAAATCTAACCTAAAAAAAATAGTCCACAAGGAAAATAATTACATCAAAATAGATATACTGTTTTAATGGGGGGGGGGAAAGTTTTCCTTTATTTCTGAGAGATGACTTCCCTGNTTTTTTTTTAAATAGGGGAGTACCTACAGCATCAGCATGTGCAAAAACAGTAAATTGTACTTTTTCTGCTTATACCCAGGGAATTTGACCTACTTGCTCCTATGAGAAGACAAGTTTGTTTCAGCATCATAAAACCCTTTGAAAAACAGGCTATTCTCAAAAGTGAATTTTTGGAATTGATGAATTTTTCTGCATCCTCAGGATGGTCTAGGTGTTGTAATTGGAGGCGAGAGGGCTCACATGGCACAGCTTTCAGATTGGGACTGTGTAGAGCCTCTGAACAATGCCTTCCTCAAAGTAGAGCAATAGATAGCACGATTGTGTTTTATACAGCAATTTCCTGTTTTCCCTTTCACCTATTGATTTATAATTTCTGTGTCTTATCTTGAAATGCCAAACTACCCTTCCCCAAACATACAAAGCTCAATCAATTGTATTTGCTCATAACGCATTTTCAGAGCACTGGGTGAGAAATGAAGGCATTATCTAATCCTCCCTCTAAGAATTACCCAGTTTACCCATCCCTAGGGATCTGCTTTCAATGTAATGTGTCTGGAGATGCTCAAAAGGAACATTTTGCCATAGGTCCAGGATTCTCCTCTTGCTGACTGTGTCACTGCCTGATGATCATTTATTCCCATTTTTCCTGGTCATGTATATGTTCCTCTTCCTGAAACCTTTGTACCCACACATAGCCATCAGGTGAACACTGCCCACACCTTTTACATACCCACAAGGCCATTTGGCTCATCACAGTCTCCCAAGCGTTAGGAAGACATTTATATATACTGAAATGTGGAGGGGATAACCACCACATTCTAGACTGTAACAGCACAATATCATCTTATTTTTATTTCATTTTTAAAAATATGGAAATTGCAGTTTGAAAGAAAACAGAGTAATTTATTATTCCCCTTCTAGAAATCTAACCTAAAAAAAATAGTCCACAAGGAAAATAATTACATCAAAATAGATATACTGTTTTAATGGGGGGGGGGAAAGTTTTCCTTTATTTCTGAGAGATAACTTCCCTGGGGATAGACTTCTAGGCTAAAATCTTTTTCTTTTGGTAGTTTAAAGATGTCATTCCATTTTTTTCTGTCTTTCATCATTTCTGTTGAAATGTGAGCTATCATTCTTATTGTTGCTCTTATAACGTAATATATCTTCTCTCTGGCTGTTTAAAAGATTTAATCTCTGTTTTTTAACAGTGTGCCTATGGTATGTAGTTCTCTTTGTATTTATTCTACTTGAATTTGCTATGTTTTTTTTTTTTTTAAATATGTGGGTTGATATCTATCATCAGCTTTGGGAAATTCTCAGCCATTATCTCTTCAAATATTGCTTCTTACCTATCTTCTCCTTCTGGTACTCCAATTACATGTATGTTAGACCATCTGACTAAGTCCCACATACCTCTTACATTTTGTTCTATTCTTTCCACTTTTTCTCACCGTGTTTCAGTTTGTACATTTTCTATTGATCTGTCTTTGAATTCATTAATCTTCTCTTTTACTGGTACCAATCTGCAGTTAAGGTCATCCAATGAGCTCCTTATTTCAGATATTTGATTTAGTAGTTCTAGAATATCCACTTGCTTCTTTCGTATAGGTTCAAGTTCTCTGTTAAAATTATCCACCTTTTTATCCATTTGTCTATACTTTCCTTTTTTTTTTTAAATCACTTGTAATGATCAAGTCCTTGACTACACATTTCAACATAATATGGGTCTACTGCCATTGTCAACTTTCCCTCTTGACTGTCAGCTATACTTTTATGTTCATCCCTTGGCTCATAATTTTAACCATGTACTGGACTTTATGTACAAAAGAATGTAGAGACTGAAGTCAGTGTTGTTTTCTTCCAGAGAGTCTTTTCCCTTACCCTCTGTTAATAGACACAGTTGTGTTGGTGAAGGACCGAGTTGAGTTGCAGCCAGATAGCAATTTCAGTTAAAAATCAGTCCACCTCTCTCTTTAAATGTCTTGAGCCTTACTCTAGTTCATCTTTGTTTTCTCAGTATTTCAAGGTTGCAGGAGATTTCCTTCAGGCTTTCTGGCTCAGCACCATTAACACCACCACCACCATCCCATCCCCAATGCTGCAACAAATGTGTCATGGAGAAAATCATCTGCATTTGGGGTGCCTCTCAAATCCAATCTCTTTTGCCAGCTCACATGCCTACTACAAGTCTTGCTCGTTTCTCTTTAATCCTAGAGTCACTCCATCCATGATAAACCCCATCCTCACAGCCTGTGCCCAGATTTGGCAAATGCTCCTACAATAGCCATCTCAGCTCATCTAGAATCAATGTTTGTCTAGACCTCTTTCATTTTACTGTTCTTTAATGTCTTTTAAAAGAAGCCTTCCTAATTTATTTATTTTTTATTTCCACTTTTTGTAGCAGGAATGATAGCTTGCCACTCCCTTCTACATGCCACCTGGAAGGAAAAGTCTCCCTTCGGATGGGTGTGAATATGCGGAGAAAGTGAACAGCCTCCCTTTCTAATCCCTTTCATCAGACAGTAAAAACGAACCTATATTGTCCACACCCAGCAACATTTTTTTCTCTTTGTCCTTTCTGGTCAGAAACAGATGTCTAGTTTCTCTCACAGTAGCACAACCTGTTTACGGTCCATTACTGGACTCCGTCTCCCAGGACAGCTTACATCGTACCACCCTTGCATCCACTAAGGTGCAGGGGCTCACAACTTGGCCTGAAGGCTGGGGTCACTGTGGTACAGGTATTAATGGTCTCCTTGACCTTCCTGCTGTCCGTGTTTAACCTAGCACACAAAGCCTGAAAAAGCTGCTGGGCACAGGGAGACTCATGCATGGGTTGTCCTGGGCCTTTTTGGGTACCACAAGGTACAAGTGATTCCCCTGCCCACACCCCTCAGCACTGCAAAGCTGTTTTTATTTTAGTCTTATCCTTGTTTTACACTTCTATTAGACTGACGATCTCTAGTGCTCAGCATTTAATAATACTATTTTCTTCATTTAATAATACTATTTTCTTCCCACTTTCTTCTTTCCTCTTTTATTCTTTCTTGGTTACATACTCTCTCCTGTCACTTAGAACACAGGCTTTTAATAGACAGTGCTGGCCAAGAAAACGGCACTTATCCTTCCATGTAGCAAACCAGACAACAAGAATGAACCATATAAAATGCTCAGGGCTGTGGTTCTTCTCAGCTGTGTCTGTGTTTTTCACAAAAGGCTGCCTTTTCATTGCCAAAGCATAATACTCATTTATGTTCTTCTCCTAATTCCACATCCCAATCTACCTAGAAGTTTGGAAATGGATTGCAAAGACTGAATTCCAGAGAGCCTAATCTTTTTTTCTTTGACATAATAATATATATGCCAATATTTGGGGTATAGTTTGGGAATCAAGACTGTGGTGAGAGATAGGACTTTTCTACTTGTCATCTGTGTCTCAGTGTAAATTGGGGCAGGGAGGGAGGGAGGCAGCCTTTCTTTTGGCATATTCTTAGTTGCATATCAAAGTAAAAGCTCTATTGAAGGGTAAAGGCCAAAGTTCAACATTAACACAGGAGAAGGGAACTAGAATCAGTAACACTGTATTCACATGAAATTATTTTTAAAAAGTAATTTTATAAAAATGCCTAAAGTGCAACTCCAATTGGGAATCCCATAAAAACTCTAGGGTTCTATAACCCTTTCAAGATCTTCCTTGAGTGGCAATTTGTAACTCTTTGTTTCACGAGAAATTCCAAGAAGCCCTATGCCATTGTGTGATAATGAGCCACCTTCTTCTGAAGAAAACTTGGAGCTGCCATCTGTTTTTCCTTTATATTAAAGTCATTATTACTATCATTATTTTTGTTGTATATTTTTAAGAGAGTTGATATCAGCAAGATTCTAAAAAGCACTGGTCAGAGAGCAAAGCCAGTTAGAAGTCACTGATGGGCCTTCCCAGGGAGTTCTCCAGACTGCATCCCCTTGGATTGTAGCTGCCTTTCTGTCATCTTGGAAATCTGAATATCCACTAGACATAGAGCCCAAGAAGGTGCCTGGTGGGCACTGCATTCATTACTGAGTTTCTGCGGTGTGCAGGTAACCCAAGCCCAGCTTACCTGGCATGTTGTTTTACTTATTTTCCCAACATAACTACTACTAGCATCCCCTTTCACACTCCAAAGCATCTCAGTTTGGACAAAATTATATGGTTTCTTCTAGCTACATGCATAGTATGTGCTAACCAAACACCAAGAGGAGAAAGCCTATCTCCAGCAGTTGGTCCTCATTAGTTATAAAGTTTTTCATCGTTAATAAGCCTAAGTCAGGGTCTCAGGAGTGCATCTAAGGAAAAGAGTGGCCCGGTGAGCTGGACAGTGTTTGGAGGAGGTGGCTCCTAGAAGTGAACGGGAACTAGACAAGCAGAGGAGAAGGGCATTCTAAGCTGAGGGGACAGTGTGAGCAACAAGGGGACTCAGGGGTACACGTGGTGCAAATATAAGGGTGGTGCCAACAATGTGGGGATAAGTGAAAGCCAAGTTTGGGAGACAGGATGGGACCAGACTACAGGGGCCTCAAACAGTATGAGTAGCGTGGGCTTTATGCTGCAGGCAAATTTAGGAGAGTTAATGTGGGATCAGACTAGACCAGGGAAACATGAGTCAACATTTTCAGAGGTAAAATGCATCTTATTTCTTAATTAAAATAAAAAAATCTCTTCCAATTACATGATAAATTTAAAATTCTAATCTCTCTTTACCATCTTGAAGTTTGTTATGTCTTTGCCTCTAAGGATGTAAAAAAGATACAAAATGGTAGTGCTGTAATTCTGGGATTGGCAAACTTTTTCCATATAGTAAATGTTTGAGGCTCTGAGGGCCCTACAGCATCTGTCACAATGGCCCAACTCCACCACTCTAGTGCAAAACAGCCACAGATGGTACACAGTGAGGAAGTGTGGCTGGGTTCCAATGAAACTTACGAAAATAAGGCAGACTGAAATTGGCTGCTGGCTGCAGTCTGTCAGTCCCTGCTTTAACTCCTGAGGATTCATCCATAATAAGAATTCCTCTATGTAAAGTAAGTTACACTTTTGGGAGTGTTGTTTTTGAGATGCAGCTATTGAAGGTGGGTCATGAAGATGCCAGTAAAGGAAGGATTGTGATTAGGTCAGTACTGAGAGTCCTGGGGAGTTGATGGCCCTTGGCAGCCACTGACCAGGCACAGTCACCTGTACCCTGAGACACAGACTGGACTCCCACTGGACTCCCACAGGATGGCCAACCCCAGAAGATGTTCCCTGCTCGGCCAGGAGTTACCTCGGGCCACTCGGCTGCGCGTGCGGACCCCTAGCACGGGGGTGGCATCCTCTACCACGGCGGAAGAGGTTTTCAGCACAGCTTTCATGTTCTCGTGCTCAGCTGCGTCCTCAGCATAGCTCAGACCCTGAGGCTGGCTTGGTGGCCCCGGAGAAGTGCCAGAGAACTTGCCAGACTGCAAAACGAAAGGCGAATTAGGACATGAAGGAGTGCCCCCAAAGCCAACTCAAGCTCATAAAACTTTTAGTTGAGGAAATCCTTCTCTTCTCTCTTTTATTTTTAACAGGATCAGAAGCCTTGACCGTGATGTTACAACACCGCGCTCACCAGGCCCCGCCCTCCTGTCCTGGTCTGGACACTCCCTCCGTGAGCTCCAAGACCAGCCCTGGCCAGACTCAGGAGGAACTTGCAGGGCTCCAGGCCAACCTCCTGTGGCTGCCCATGAGGTCAGTACCCAGCTTACCTGGTCCCCAGCCCTGTGCCTGCCACTCAGCTGGCTACATCCTGCTGACTCCCCACCACCTGCTGGTCATCAGGGCCTCAGTAAGTGGGCCGGCCTCCATTTACCTGACTCTGCTGTCAGCTGCTATCCCCCCTCATCCTCAGTGCAGGACCTCCCCTCCCCACCCAGGCTGCTGGGCCTGAGCTATAGTTAATCTTTCCACACACAGGCCAGACAGGACCAGTGCAACCACTGCCCAAGCAGAACGTTTCCTGTTACTCTCTCCTGAGAAACATGAAATCAAGTTCTTTCAAAAATCTCACCTGCCCTTCATGGAGGCCATCTGAACTGAGTCTTTGTACTTTTAATTACTTTATCACTAGATAAACTTCTTTAAGTGACTTTAAATAAAATATCCCGTTTCTAAAAATAAATTGCGGGTGAAAAATCACGTCAATCTCTTGATTTTAAATTAAACACATCTTCAGTTTAAGTATTTCCACTGAGGTTACAAGTAATCAGACACACGTTTTTCGAGAATTGAATACATTTTGGGAAGTTAAAATGATAAAATGCTTCCAGTTCATCATGTTCCACAGTGCCCCATTCAAATGGCACTGTGATAAGAGAGGACAATTCTGCCTATTTTTATTTTTTTTATTTTTTTAATTTTTTTATTTTTTTAAAAAGATGACCGGTAAGGGGATCTTAACCCTTGACTTGGTGTTGTCAGCACCACGCTCAGCCAGTGAGCGAACCGGCCATCCCTATGTGGGATCCGAACCCGTGGCCTTGGTGTTATAAGCACCGCACTCTCCCGAGTGAGCCACGGGCCGGCCCATTGGTCAGAGTTGCTGTGAACCAGGTGATGTCAGTAAGCCTTATATGACTGACTGGTGGGGCAAGGGGGAAGAGGATTGGAGAGTCAGGGCCTTGCCTTCTTTAATAAACTCCCTGACAACAGAAATGAGTATTTTTTTCCCTTATGAGAATGCATTTATTCAGTCACATTTTTCCTAAGCAATTAATAATTGTCTTTTTTTTTTTTTTAAAAGATGACCGGTAAGGGGATCTTAACCCTTGACTTGGTGTTGTCAGCACCACGCTCAGCCAGTGAGCGAACCGGCCATCCCTATGTGGGATCCGAACCCGGGGCCTTGGTGTTATTACCACCGCACTCTACCGAGTGAGCCACGGGCCGGCCCTGCCTCACTATTTTTATCTGATGGCTTATTTATTTAACCAGGATGGGTTGCATTTTTTTCCAGCAATTAGCACATGTGCAAAGAGCTGCATGAACAAAATCTCCAGCCTTCTCAGCATCCTGAAAAGTAACCAGCATTCCCTTTTTATGGAAGAGGAAGCTGGGGTTGGGAGAGGTTACAGATCTCACCCAGGATTACTGGTGCCTTCCGGTATGTGGGAGGCCTGCGATATAGCAGCCTGGGTTCTCACAGCCCATCTGGAGAATGACACCAGCAGAAAAGGCCACAGTTGCCTTGTGTTGCCTTGACTGTCACCATTTGGTCTAAAACCAGTTTTGGACACAGGATGAGAAATTCATTTTTCACAGACCCTTACACCTGGGAGGATCCCTGGATTATACTCAGAAACAGGGAGAGAAGAGGAGGGAGAGGTACTCAACAGCTGATATGGGCTGACTCTATAAAAGCAGGGTCTTCAGACTCCCCCCACCAACTTCTCATCACTGTTTAATTGCTACCACCTCTGTCCTCGTTTTATTCAGCATCTATATTAAAAGTCACTTATTACAGTTTTCTTTAAAATCTCTTCTAGTTCCAATGTTCGGGGGATCCGTGATTCTAAATCAATTGCCTGGTTTTGTTTTCAGTGGTTTAAGTTGTGCATGTCATTTTCTAAGCGGATTGTGAAATCCTTGGGGTATAAGCTTGTCTTTTACCTCACTCACACCTTCCTTGGAGCCCTGCAGCGCTGGGCACACAAAGAGCACCTAATAGTGGAGAGCTGGGGAGATGTGAGGCTGTACACTTTGCTGCAGTGACAATATCCAAATCTTCCAGTAGATGGCAATCATTCTACAAGAATGATGCCATTTCGGCCTCTAAAAACATGGATTAGGTTGATAATGAACTTTTAAGAAGCCTGAACTGTCCAGATTTTAATGTGAATTTAAATATTTTTGAATCAAACTCAAGAAACATTTACCTCTGTTTATAACCGGGAAAACCTCATGTTTTCAGAGAAAGACAGAATTTACAAATTAGTGGGATCTGTAAAAAATCTCAAGAATTTGGCAAGAAATTATGATGTGTTTTCATAACTATAAGCATATTGGGCTTGTATTTTTCACCCTCCAATGTGTCTCATTTCCATAAAAATAAGCGATCCCTTTTTAAAACTTTAAAAAAGAATACTTTGGAATGAAATGTGGGACATAGCTTGCTCAAGTGGATCCAGTTTGCTTCCTGAGTTGCTGTTATACAGGAGGCTAAAGATCCTGTTGAGCCCAGAATCTTAGACGACGAGACAGAAGGCTCTCAGCTGATGACACCGGCATCCAGAACTACCAGGGGGCTGTAGAAAGGGTTCCTTCTGGAGAAAAATGACCTGAGCACTCCCTCTGGGTCCAGAAAATCCCAAGGAAACAAAGGGTTTAGGTGAAAGTGGATGGTAAGGGGGTTGATAAGTCCACGGTTCTCAGAACTGCCTTGAAGTTGCAACCAAATTCCTAAGTTGTGTTCCCAGGTTTCTCTGTGCAGGTCAGACCCATCAGGAATGTGGACACATGAGAGCAGTGACCACATGCCTTCTGTTTTGCCTACTATATGAACACATTTTGGCACAGACGCAGCCTCAGTGAGGTCTTCTTAACTGGCTTTCTTCCTCCCCAAAGAAATCTGCCTGGGCCGGCCCGGTGGCGCACTGCTACAGTGTGCCACCTGGGAGTGCAGCAGCGCTCCCACTGAGGGTTCGGATCCCACATGCAGACCGGTTCCCGCTCACTGGCTGAGCAAGGTGCAGGCGCAGCACCGAGGGTTGCGATCCCGTTGCCGGTCCCGGTCCGGTACGGGCGCGACACTGAGGGTTGCAATCCGTTGCCGGACACGAAAAAAGACAAAAAGGAAAAAAAAAGAAAAAAAGAAATCTGCCTGATTTGAGTTCAGCTGAGGCTTGTGACCCCCTGGGCAATGGCACACCCCCTGGACAATGGCACACCTTAATCCTCTCCTCATCTCGTGCCCTGTGCCGTTGGGAGCCATGTTCCACACACACGTGTGAGAAGTTCATGGGCACCAATCCAAACGATACAATCACTCCAAAGAGTCCCTTGACAGGTTCCAAAAATGACCTGTCAGTATCAAAAAAAGATGATTCTATTCTCAAGTCTGTTCAAGTAAGGATAAATGATGAATAAAGGAGAATTTCCAGAAAATTTCTTCCTTTTGCCTGGAACTGACCTTATAGCTTACTAGTAATGGACGAGATGTGCGAGGTACCACCCTGGTTTTTGTATTTTGTAAAGGCACATCAGGAAGGGAACCTGCACTGTGTGTCTCTGGTGTCTGTGGCATCTTCATGCCTCCCTCTACTACTGAACATTTCCCACCTGAATGCCCACTACCCTCAAGGCCTGGGTGGGCTCATGGCTGAGGTGGGAGAGAGGGGGGAAGAGCCCAGGAACGGGGAAAACACGTAAGTGTGCAGGGGCACCCCAAGGTGCTGTAGGAAACTCCTGCTGGATTCACTCTCCTCTGGGATCTCTTCCCACACTGATACTTGTGACTCAAGGGACTGCTGATAGCCCTTCAGATTAACTCCTTGAGAAATCAAATCAATTTCTCTATTCAGGTGCCTCAAATGGCTGGTCCGTGTGTCAACTGATTGGTTATATAGCATCACTATGAAGATTAAATGCTAGATCAATTCCCAAATCAGTACATTTGTCTTCCTATGATAAGTGGCATTAACTTTTACATTTTTCTTGTCTTCTTTCAATTTTACCCACATCACAGAGATCAAAAACGGAATCAAGCATTTAGTGTCATCAGCATCATATGACACACCAACGTGGGTTACATGTTCCTCTTCAGCCACACATTCTTAGTTTTATGTATTCTCGGTCCTTGTTTGTTCTATAGCAGATTTTCACTGAAACTGTAGAGGAGTAGTTTAAAAGCACTTTTTAAAAGAGGGATTGTTTTTCAAAGCCAAAAAAAAAAAATATGGTTGATCTTACTTTCAAAATAAATGACATTAAGAGACTGATTCCATGAAACTTACATCAGTGATCATCTTCCCTCTCGTCTTATTTCTCTCTCTGTGGTTGGCCCGTTTCTGTTTCTGCTGCAAAACCCTTTCTCTGGTGGTGCGATACTCTAGCGCAAATTCACTAATGATCCTGCAGAACTTGTTTATGTTCACCTCCCGGATGGCGTAAGGCGGATGGCCCATAAAGAGCAGAAAGGAGTGGAATCTGCAAGGAAAAAATAGTAATGGCAATGACTTCGGTGTTAAGGAACCAAAATTAACTGTCTGCAATCTTCCAGTAGGAAACCAATGAGTTGAGCTCTTGGTGCAAGGACATTGTTCATTTTTCACTCCTGGGGATTTTAGTTTTAAGAGTCTTCTCAAATGGAAATGCAAACAGAAATCAAGTTCAACTCACTTCCTCAATGATGGAGGTTTTATGTCTAGGTGGTAGAATTTCAGGAGATTCGTTTTTCATTTATCTATGTATTAATGTTTTTCTAAAATGGATCTGTATAACTTTTGTAAGAAAAATGATAAAGTACTATTTTAAAGAAAATACTGCACAGTTTCTAGATTATACAAGAATTAAATAGGAATGAAATGTTGCTTGGAAATTCCTTTAATGAATACTTGGAGTAGAGATGAGCATATTACATGTAACATGTTCATTGACAGTTTACAAAGAGATGCTTATAAAGTTTTCTGAGAGGGCCGGCCCGTGGCTCACTCAGGAGAGTGTGGTGCTGATAACACCAAGGCCACGGGTTCGGATCCTCTATAAGGATGGCCAGTTAGCTCAGTGGGTGAGCGTGGTGCTGACAACACCAAGCCAAGGGTTGAGATCTCCTTACGTTACCAGTCACCTTTTGAAAATAATAATAATAATAATAAAGTTTTCTGAGTAAATATTTTGAAACATTTTCTTGCAATATTACATAAATCCTAATTTAATTAAGAAACACCAAATGAGCAGAACAAACTAAATTGATTTCATGTACTTAATTTATCATCAAAATTATTCGATTCTATTTGTTTAACAAGAAGATACTGGAAGACAGGGAAATCTTTATGGAACAAACAGTATTACGTAAGTGATACTATTTGTAGAGAAAAACTTTTGGTTTTGTTCATTCTAATCTGTACGGTTTTAATATGGGTGTTTTGTTTTTTTCTAAAATGAGGGACATTGACTTATTCTTTTTGTGAAGAATGATTAAGTAGAATATACAACTTATATTCGACTGGCCCCAACTACCTCTCTGACTTCATCTGTCCTGACTCCAGCTACACGGGACTCCTGTTCATTCCTTCAAAGAAGCCCATCTCATGGCCACAGGCCCATGTGGTGTGTATGCAGGAAACCCTGGAGGGACACAGAGACTGAGGAGCTGACAGCCTGCAAGGCCTGGGGTGGGGAGGGAGGGACAAGGAGTCCATCTAATACCAGCTGTTCCCTATGCCTAGACCAGTCCCCCTGCAGACAGCTGCAGGGATGGCTCTCATCCCACAGGTCTCTGCTCAAGTACCACCTCCTCGGAAAAGCCTTCCCTGACCACTCTACGTAAAACAGCACATTCTCATCACTACCTATCCCCTTAATTCTTAATTCTTATAGTCTTAATTCTTAATTTAATTTAAACTCTTAATTCTTCTTCCTGGTTCTTATTACCACCCGACATTATATATTGGATATATGCTCTGATATGCTGTTGGGATAGGACAGTGTAATGCATAATATGTATTATTTTATCACTATTCGAGATGTGTATGCAGGAAAAATTGAGGGAAGAATCCATCAGCCCACAGCTGGATAACTATTCACCCCATTATTCATATGTTAGTTCTCTGGGTCACCTTTTATACATAAGAACAACCCAATATCCCTTTACCCTCCACATTCTAGAACATTGTTTTGGAACCAGAGGGGATCCAAAGTTAACATACAAATTTGAAATATGATTTAAGCATATATTTTGCAAACAAGTAACAACAAGCAAGTAAAATGCACATCTGAAAGAAGCATCAGACACTTGAAAAGAGAGAGACCCTGTCATCATGACTTCAGAAGAACAAAGCAGGTATGAACTTAGGGCAGTAAAACATTTTTGTTAGTTGAGTTTGTAACTTTTAGTATATGTGACGTGAAGATTTATGGTTACAGACAGGCTGTCTCCCCTCATCAGTACCCCAAGGTAAAAGTCAAACATCTTCAATTTGTTCCATTATCCGCCCTTTTACTGAAGTGTGCTACCGAGTGGGGTATCTGGCCCAGGATGGGGAGGGGTGGGTTTGGGGGCAATGGGATGCCTGCCTAGGTGTTTGTTTTCTGCCTGCCTCTCCCCATGGAATGCCAGCCCATTGCTGTGATTCACGAAGCCTCCCAGAAAGGCTTCCTTCCCAACCTCCCACCTGGGCCCTCTCTCCCCAGTGCCTTTCACAGTGTAACTGCGGCCAAATGAATCCACAGGAATAAGGCAGTGGATCTGTACACCCATAGAGTGGGATTAGGCAGTTAGGACAGCAGTATAAAAGGAAAGGTTACTATCCAAAACAACATTTTTGAAAGCCAGGTTTCTGCCTAAATAGACAGTTATATAGCTACTTAAAACTTTCAGATCTGAAGTCTTATATTTAGGCTGATCTGTATGACCAAAAATTTTCATAAAATTGCTCCAAATGGAAACTGTTTACTTTGTTTTGTTTTGCTTTGTTTTTGTATTTTTTTTAAAAATTGGGAATTCCTTGAGTCATACAAAGCATAGAAGGCCAAAGCAGCTCACATTCCATGCCTCTCCTTTTTAACCATGTTAGAAGCAGTGTATTTAGATTTCAGCAAGAATTTCATAGACAACATTTCTTATATGAGTAATGTCCTTCTATCCTGAGGGCAGCTGGGAGGTCTAGATGGAGTACAGTTAGGAGGATATAGTTAAACAACTAAATTCCAAAAGTACTGATTAATGGATGGTGGTCAACCTGGAGGGAACATTATGTTATTATTTCCATATTTATTTAAAAACTAACCCCTTTTTCTCAACCGTCTGGATCAAGACCCAGGAAGCATGATTATCAAAGCAGCAGATGACACAAGCTGGGAGAGGGCTCACACACAGGTAAGAGAAGCAAGTTTTTAAAAGTTCTCTATGGGTTTAAGGAAGGTAAAAGAAGCAAACAAGGAAACAAGGGGAAGGAGAGAAGAGAAGAAGGGTGGGCAAGGGTCCTACAACCACATTCTGTGACAAAGCAAAGGAGAAGAAAGAGGTGGCACAAGATAGGATATGCCCTGGCCTGGAAAGTTAGAAGACCTGGTTCTAATCCTGGATGGGCCACCACTTACTGGTAGAATAGCCCTGGATAGCCCCAGAGTTGCTCTGGACCCCAGCCAGCCTCCCTGTGGGCAAAGCAAGGTCTGAGACATCACTGCTGTGTCTCCAGAGTCCTGGGTCCTACGACTCTAATAAAGATTGAGGCAGAGGAGAGCACCTGTGCTGGGGCCAGACCCTGTTCAGGCTGGCTGCAGCATAGAGCAGCCGGCAAAGAATCCACAACTGGGAGGTCCACAAACTGCAGATCAGATAAAGGAGGAACTTTTCTAACAAGTAGATCTGACTTGCAAGAACGTGTGCTCTCTGTAGATGAAATTATTTGAGCAGACGCAGAAATGCACGGTTCAAGTTGTCAGAGGTCTTACAGATGCAACTCCTAATCAAATGGGATTTGGGGATCAAATTATCTCAGATTCTTTCCAACTTCAAGATTCAATGGCATCATATTATTGTGTAAAAAAAATTAAGTATCCATGAAACTGTTAAATATCTGTATCCTAGGTGTACTTGCTATGCACCAAGAGCATACAGTAAAATTTTTGTAAATTTAACCTTCAGATCTTGGTTTGCAGAATATTTTAATATGCCATTGTACTGATGTTTCCATAAGTTCCTCAGTCTGCTTACCTGTTAATTATCCTTCTATGGACAATCTTCAAAATTATAATTCGCTCTACACAGTCTTTTAGGAACTCTGACATTCGTTGTTTTAAAACTGGTTTCATTTCATGTTTTGCAATTGCCTTGAGGTGATCCCATGAAGCTTTGCATCTTCTCTCCATCTGACATAAATTATCCTGAAGTTGATCAAAATCAACCTGAAAATCAGAGAGAGGACATTGCAAATGTGCTGAAACAACTGGACACTAACCTGAACTGGGAAACCAAACTGCCTCTGAGAAGAAATAGACATCAAAACCAAATTTGCATCTTTAAATACAAACATATTTATGGTCTAAATATCATTCACATGTGTATTTATTATTGTCTCGACATCAAATTATTTAGTGATAAAAATGTTCTCCAAATAAACCCAATACATGTGTCACTTTTTTTTTTTTTTTGCCTTACTTGGAAAGAAAGCTTAGGGAAGTCTTTGGGAATTGTAAACTAAAACATGATATTAAGGAACCCTAGTACAAGATGAATTGAGTAGATGTCTCATAAAATTCTCAGAGCACTCTTGTTCTTCAGAGATGATATTTCACTAAAGGTTGAGGAATGCATTCTAGTCACACACGGCTGGCTCTGCTATGTGGGGCCAGCTAAGGGCAGCCAGCGTCTCTTCATGGTGATCTCCTTCATAATTTGTGTAACAAAATTATTTTATTCCTCTGCTCACTCCCTTGTTCAACCAACACTCATAGAGAAACTCATACACATGTTCCTGTACCAGGCACTAAGAACACAAAGACAAACGCTGAATGAGACTAAATTCTTGTCTGCAAAAAGGCTCACTGTATACACGGGTGATCACTAAGCCCTGAAGGGTGTACAGCACCCCCCGGGCAGCGGTACACAGGCAGCATGTGTCCTTGTGTGTGTGTGTGTTTGCATGCATGAGGTCTTGCCAGCACACACAAATCACACATTCAGAGAACAGATGTGACAGAGCACTGTGTATCCAGGGAAGTGCGAACAGTTTGGATTGACTGAAGTGGCCTGAGGTGAGGCTTTCTGTGGTAATGCTTTCACAGAATTTCTAGAATAAAAGTTACATGAATCAGAGCTACTTAGTCATGAAAAAAAATACACTCAAGGGCCGTATTTAATAGAAGGATATGTAAGATGGGAAAAGAAATTGAGAAGGATGGGAGAAGGGGAAGAAATAATTAAACAAATGGGTGAAACTGAAGGGAGGGGACTGAGGTGGATGGAGAGGGAGCCGTGGTGGGAAGGAGTAAGAGTGGGGCAAGCAGAAGTCAGAGAAAGCAGACGAAGATGCATGGAGGTGAGCTGCCATTGCTTAGATGCAATGACCGTGGTCATGAGAGCAGGGCCTGGACGAGAACACCGGCAGCAGACTTGCTGGAGTGACCTCAGACCCCTGCCCCCACTCAAAAGGACAGCGGAGGGATCAAGTTAACAAAGGTGGCTTCTTTGAGAGGACGTGTGGCACCCAACAGGATGAAGACACACTGACCACAGGGGATGCCACATGCCCTGGATTTCTTGATGCTGTAGAGCCAAAAAGGGAAGGCAAGCTCAGGCAGAGCCCTGGGCTTCAGGGAAGCAGAAGGTTCATGGCACTTTGAGGAAAATGATTTGTCTGAAACCAAAGGAATCCTGGGTCCAGATAGAAAAGGCTTCCTTATGATATAAATGTAGTTAGGGGGAAAAAATCTAGCATTCAGCTAGACTGGGGCCGGCCCGGTGGCGCACTGGAGAGTGTGCCGCCTGGGAGTGCGGCGGTGCTCCCGTCGAGGGTTCAGATCCCATGTGGAGACCGGTTCCCGCTCACTGGCTGAGCGTGGTGCGGGCACAACACTGAGGGTTGCGATCCCGTTGCCGGTCCCCGGTATGGGTGCGACACCGAGGGTTGCGATCCCGTTACCAGTCAGTAAGAAAGACAAAAAGGGAAAAAAAAAATGCAGACTGAGTAGAGAAGGACTGAAGAGTTCAAAGCATAAGTCTAGGAAAGGATTCAGATGACTTGAGATTGACAAGTAGCATCTATGAGGTTTTAAGCAAAATCAAGCTGAGCAGAGTTAGTGTAGCAGGTCTATGACTCTGTGGATCTGTCCCCATTTGCATCTGGCAGCTGCCTTGACCCACAGTAAAATAACTTCAGTTCAGCTCAAACATGTCCCCAGCAGCTCTGTGCAGTCCAACCAGATGATGCTTGCCCAGCAGGGCAGTAGGCACACAGCGGGCAGGCAGACATGATGCAAGATGGGTTTTGATGGAAAGAGCCCACTGTGAACCCCTAAGGTGGTGGCAGAAGAAAGTAACCACACTGCCAATGGAAACCAGGTGGGGAACATTGTGTCCCGAAGCGGTTTGAGATTGAGCTTAATGTAGTGTCTTTTGCAGAGGCCTGGAAAGTTCCCTCGCTGGCTGCCACCTGAGGACCATGCAAAGATCTAAGAGGCACACATGATCTGAGTCTTTACAGTGACCCATGACCTCAGATTCTGTTATGAGCCTTGTTTCATAAGGGAGAAACAAGGGTAGAGAGGGAGAAAAAGGGGTAGAGAGCTTGCAGAACTTGTGAGAGACCACACAGCTGGTAGTGGTGGGCCTAGGATTCGAGCCTGGGTCTCTCTGGCTTCAGAGTCTGAGGCCTCAACCATCACACCTTAAGCCAAGGTTTGTCTGTAAAAACTTCCACTCCAGGGAGAGAGCTGGCCTGCCTTCTGTTGTGAGAAGGAAGTCCTCTCCCGAGGACTGCTCCATATGTGCCACTTTCTGTCTGTAGGAAGACATGTGTGCTGGGCCACCAAGCAAAACCAAGTCTTACCAAGTCTGCCTGGGATGCTGGGAGACAGTGCAGGGATGAGGGCAGGGGCGGCAGCTGCAGAGGGATGTGGTGGAGAATGCACACAGTATGAGAAAGGTGGTACTCGAAACATATGTTGCAAATTCCCTGACACTCCTTCAAATGTAGACTTATTCCCTTTCCTTTGATGTGAGCCATCTTTAGTGACTTTCTTCTAGTGATTGGAATGTGGAGGCTGGGTCAGACAAAGGACAGAGCCCCCACCTGTCTCTCTCTCTCTCTCAGATCACTCCTTCTGGGGAGACCATCTGCCATGTCATGAGGACACTCCAGGAGCCCTGGGAGAGGCCCACGTGGGAAGGGATTGAGACAGCCCTCTAACAACCCAGCCCCAGGCGAGCCTTCAGACAATTGCAGCATAGCTAACATCTTGTCTGAATGCTCACAAGAGACCTTGAGACAGAACCACACATGAAATAATGTATCTTGTCATCTGTTATGGATTGAATTGTGTCACTCCCAAATTCATACCTTGAAGTTCTAAAGACTAGTATCTCAGAATGTGTCTTTTTTTGGAAATAGGGTCATTGCAGGTGTAATTAGTTAAGTTGGGATGAGGTCACACTGGAGTAGGATGGGCCCCTAATCCAATATGACTGGTGTCATTATAAGAAAGGGAAATCTGGACGCAGACACACAGAGAGAACACCATGTGAAGAAGGCAGAGATGGGGTGATTGCCAGTAAACCACCAGAAGCTAAGAGAAAGACATGGAACAGATTCTCCCTCACAGTCCTCAGAGGGAAGCAACCCTGCCAACACCTTGATTTCAGACTTCTGGCCTCCAGAACAGCAAGACACTACATTTCTGTTATTGTAAGCTGCCCAGTTTGTAGTATACTTTGTTACAGCAGCCCTAGGAAACTAATATATTGTGTTAAGCCACCAGTTTTTAGGACGATTTGTTACACAGCTGTAGATAACTAATACAAGTAGGTTAAAGGCAAGGAAGGGGACACTGCATTGTCACTAGGAGCCGTGGGGGTCAGGGTCAGTGATCACTTGTCACTGTTGCTCTTTGAAATCTGAATTAAGTGGTTAACAAGCTGCATGAGTCTGTGAAGTCCCACTCTGCTAGCAGTGAACAGAACTGTCCCCACCTTGGCCCATTTCTGCCAGCCTCTGGTGGAAGACAGTTTTCTGCAGATGCCAGAGCAAACCTGCCCCTCGGCGGTTGCAGTGGTGAGGCCCAAAGTGTGGTACCCCGGAGGATGGGTGATTGTAGCTGGGGCTGGGGTTTCCTGAAGCTTATTTTGTACCTGTCTGCACAGAAGGGCCCCTAACACCCACGGAGGCTTTGGGAGCAAAATCTGAGAAGAGGAGGTAGACGGCCTCCTGCTGCAGGTCACAGGGGTCTGGGTCAATGGTCATCTTCGGGAATTGCCAAAGTTAACGGGTAGGTAGTCTGCAGTTCTGGCTTGCGCAGCCAATCTTGAGGCAAAGATAAGTTATTTAGTTATAGTAGCTACCTGATAACTAAAACGCCAGCAAGCTTTTGGGAAAGATCTGATATTGAAGGGGCCCAAAGCAGTCACCGAGGTCCAGAATGGTGTCGGGACTCCTGGGCCAGGGCTGCTCTTGTTACAAGCAGACTTCCCCTGGGGAAGGCCCTGGGTAAAACCAAAGGCTACATGTGAAAAGGAGACTGGTATGTTCTGGGTGGTTCTGGAAACAGGACCAAGGTGAAGGGGATCCAGACAGCCAGGCAGACCTTGTTTCAAATAGTTATTCCTAACAAAACTGTCTTTGGGGGAGATGCTTACAGGGGATGTTGGAGCAACAACTAGAGGACTCTCTGCTGGGGTACTCAGAGGGGTTTTTGCCTTGGTTAGGATATTAAAGTAGTATTGTAAAGACCTCAGAACAGTGCCTGTCACAGAGTAACATGACACAAGTTCCTGTTAAATAGAGGACTCTGTGTGCTAAGAGGCTCTCGGTTAGTGCTCTGCGTTGGAGTAACACTGGCTAAGCCTCTTTTTGTCTCAGGACAGGTCTACTGTCAGGCCAGCTCAGGGCCCCCCTGCTCAGTGTAGCTGACAGCTGCCAGCCCGTGGCTCCTGAGGCAGGTGAAGGAGGCTCCCAGCCACCAGGTCCCCACAAGCCAGTTCTGTGGGAGAAGGCAGAGAGAGGGAGCTCTCCTTGAAGGAGACCTTAGCAGCCCCCTTCCCATCCCAGGCCCCATCTACCTAACACCCACTCTGCTCCTCTGGTGGATTCCAACATGTCCACACTTTCAGCTCCTGCTTCCCAGCCTGGGTTGTTTCCAGGAGTTTCCTCCATGCTGGCCTGATTCCTGCACCCTACCCTATTCAAGGTCCCCGCCCCCCATCCCGCAGTGAGCTTCCTGTGCTCCCAAGGCCTCCACATCTCCCAGTCTTGGTGTGTTTAGGATTCCTCCAGCGGTTGTTCAGCCCAGTGATGCTCCTCACTACTGAGACCATCACTTTTCCAATAAACCACAGCTCATGAAGATACTACCCCTGCACTCCCTTTAAGGGTGTGCAGCTAAGGGGCCAGTGCTATATACTGTTTACAGCCCTATAAAAATGTCCCCTCTGCATAAGATCACAGGGATGTTTGGGAGCAGAGGCCAGACGTGCTCTCTGTTTCCTGGCTCCACACCTCACTGCAAGGTCCTATGGACATCTTAGGAGGAGCCAAATCACATGTTTTGGACACGTTTGCCCACCTAAAACAAGCTGTGCAGTAGTAGTGTTCTGGACAATCCAGCCTGGTGAGTCACACTGCTCACCAGCGGCTGTGGAGTGAGCACTGGGATGGCAGGCTCGCTCACATACCTCAGTAGGAAAGAATCTGACCGAGAACCAGAGATAGGAAAAAAATCTTAAAAGTTCATTAGAAATGGCACAAAGCGAATCATAGTCACAGACACTAGAGCAGGGAATGCAGGCAGCACTTGAACGTCTTACTTAATAGAGCTTGTGTGCCTCAGAGATGACTGATAAAGATCCAACAGCTGAGGCCGAGGCAGGTCTGCTCCTCAGTGTCCTTGGACGTACCTTGGCTGACCTGGTGATGGCCCCGATCTCCGAGTACAGATCGGAGCTGTCTGGGAAGTTTTCCACCACCATGGTGCACACATGATGGAGAAGCGACTGCTTGTGCACTGTGTCTTTGACTTCTGGAACTTTCTCGAGGTAGCTTAACTCAAATGCTTTGGCCTGTTCGGTGAACATTAAAGATGGGAAGAACAAATTTTATGTAAGCTCTTAGAATAGCACAGAAGGTTAGAATCAATGCCTGGCTGTAGTAGCTCAATATTGAGTTTCTCAGGCCACATGTTCCATCATCCCTAGCTGATCACACGTGGGCCAGCCACACTGAGAATGAAGTGCCACCTGCCACGTGCCAGGGCTCACCCCTAAGTCCGGGTGCCTTAGGACAGTCCCCAGCATCTGCGTCTCTACAGCCTCTTCCTCCCCTTCTCCTGCTGTTTATCTATTCCCAGCCACAGCTAGGCCAATGAGAAAAAAAGTTGTTTTTTTAAAGGACCAGAGTGTGTATGAGCACAAATATTTGAGCGATAAGCTCAGGAAAAGAAAAGAAACCAGGGCAGAAGAAAATTCCCCAATGTCAATTTTGACAGTAGCCACACTTCATAAGGAATAGTGTGCTTATTTTTCTAGGTTTTCTTATTAATAGCAAGATACAGACTCAAATAAATAAGCCCTGATATTTTAAGGACAAAATTTCTTCTACATTTTCAGCAAGAAGATACAAAAGTTGTTTGTTCTATTGTGCTCTGTGGGATCAGAGATACAAACTCCATCAGCAAATGACAGGCAGGGATTCTGTGACGGGGGGCGAGAAGATAAGGATGGGGAAGACTTACATTTGTTCCATTTAGAAAGTTCCCGATGGCTAAGAGAGTAGACAGGATAAAGCCCAAAGTTTTATTGTTCTCCAATTGGTCTATGCCTTCCTTCAGGTCCAAAAGTGGTTCCGCCACTTCCTTTCAGTTAAAAAAAATATATACACATATATATATAAGATGGCAAAAAGAGTGTACATTTCGCCTTGTTTTTTTAAAAAATTTTTCCTATAAGAAAATAGCAAGTGGATTTCCCCCCAGCACAAGGAGATCCCATGAGATGGGCGTGCACTCACAGGTATGGGAAAGTGCCAAAGGGTAGCAGGGAGGGAGTCTAATCCTGAGTCTCTGCAGTAGAGACCAGACAAAGCTCGTGCTGGGGTGACAAACGCTCTGCCTTAGCCCTCCTCTTGCCCATTGTCCAAACCCACACAGGACTCTTAGGTCACACCCTCCTCTCATGCTCTCTCCTGATGATGGCTGACTTCTGTGACATTTTTCCCATGTTCCTTCAGCATCTGGCCCACAGTCTTCCTCTTTGCCTGTCCTTCTTCCAGGGAGATGACACTGAAAACTGTGGCCTCACTGTGCCTGGACCACCCACATCTCCTCCCCTCTAGGCACCCCTGTTAGCCTGGGCTACTCACTCACTAGAAGGCCACCGTCCTTGTTGCTCCCACCACCTTCATAACTCCCTCAGACCTCAAGCCTTCTCTGTGGCCTCCTGGCCTCAATCTCCCCTTCCCCCCCACTGTCATTCTGTGCCCTCACTTCCACATGCTTCCTGAGGCTCTCCCCTAGCCTGAGGCTCTCCCCTAGGTGCATCCCAAAGCCAGAGGTTTAGCTTCAGTCTCTCCAGCCCAGCTTCTGCCAATCCCCAACCAATGCTAAACCAAATATCTGTTTCCTTCATGATGGTACTTGGCTAGAGAAAGTCACCTAAGAGTGCTGACTGACTTTGTGACCAAGTTATACCAGTCACCTAAGTAGTTCTAGGTGTCTTCATCTCTGCTTGATTCCCTAATGAATTCATATATAATACTTTCCTCCTGAAGGCCCCCAAATTTACTGCAATCTATCTGGCCTTCAGTATAGGGCCTTCCCACCCTCTTTGCTGGAAGATGGAGACCATGCAGCCTCTCAAGCTGGACTTTTGAATATCTCCTCTGGGCACTTCCTCTCAACTAAGCTCCCCTGAAGTTCAATTTCCATCTCTCCTTTTTCTGCTCCACCGGTTCCTTCTGTCCAGCCTGGCCCAGTCCAGAGAGGATGCCTGTGTGCTCCGCTTCCAGCTCCAGGGGAGTCTCCCCATGCCTTCCTCGTCAAGGCCCCCTTCCTTCTACTCTCCTCTCAACCTCCTGCAATCTGCCCCATCTTCAACTTTCTGCTGAGGATATCCCTCCAAGGGACCCAAGGTCCTGCTAACTGCCACAGTCAATGGCAGTTTAAGTGATTATCGTCAGGTGAAGGATTACAGAACTTGTTCCACACTGTGCTTTTCCATATTTTCCAAGTTCTCTACAATAAAATAAAGAGTGTGAAAAAAACTTAACTTTTTAAAATCAGTCATTGGTGATTTGTGACAATCAAGTGTGTGAGGCTGGTGCCAGGCAGATGCTTTAGAATGACCCTCCTTGGCAGGCTGCTGATCACTTTGTGTAGACACAACCTCATCATCATCAACTCACCCTCCAAACTCTGAGTCAAGAATGACACCTCACTACCAATGAAGACCTGGCTTTCTCGACACTGGATGTGGGATCAGCTGCCTCTCACACTGAGCACTTACCCTTTCTGTAGTTTCATAATCCACTTTGAATGCCCAGAGGTGCAGCCGAGCCGAGAGCTCGCTGATGGAGGACAACGTCAGGAGGAACTGCTCTGCGCTGCCCAAGGGCACTTCGGGGTTGGCCAGCTGAGCTTCCTGGATTTTCTGCTTCTCCTCTTCGGTGGGAATCATGGTTAGAATTTTCTAGAAAGATGGGACGCTATATTATATTCTCTCTTAGGGATGGACCCTATGCCACCCCTTCAATGTTCTCAAATTCATATTACAATATTCTAGCCAGGTAGTATTAGTGTTTTAAAAATTATATACAGGTGTTATATTGTCATAAACCAAATACACTTTAAGCAACTTGCCCAAAATTTTCTGGGTTTTGCACATGAAGGATAGTCTAGTCAAGAAACGGGGATGGGAGGTGAGAGAAAGGTGAAAGGTAAGACATAAGATTAGAGACCAACTCCTTGTTCCCTCGGAAATAGAGTAAAACATGTCAAGAATATATGCTCTGCAGCATTTCTCATGAATTAATTTAAGAGTTTACAAAATGAATCATTTTCAAAGAACTCAGATTGACTCTTGTTCATGTGACATATTATAATGTTAACTATTTTAACTATATTTCAAAATAAATAGAAATGATAGAACTTTAAATAATATCAAACTCAAGTCTGAATAAAAAAATTAATGATGGTATTTATAAAGAGCAATGCCTACCTACGAATGAAAAAAGTATATCTTTTTGCTTTTGATACTGGTAAAAATCTGTTGTAGAAGGCAGAGAAGGCAAAAAGGCAACAGAATGATTCTTATAGGTTCAAATTCCTTCGTGATTACAGTTTTCAAAAGGTAAAAATTCCCATGTCCCCTCTTAACATTCCTATATTAATATTGTATGGAAATCCTAGCCAGGCACATAAAAGAAATAAAAGACATACATACTGGAAAGGAAAAAAATAAAACTGCTCATATTCATGGATGACATGATTGTCTGCACAGAACATTGTAAGGAATCTACAAAAAACCTCTAAAACAATAAAGTGAGTTTAACAATCATGTATGATTTAAGGTTCATACACAATAATCCATTTTACTCCTATATGTTGATAATAATCCAAAAAAAATTAAATGCTATTTACAATGAAATACATAGGTTTAAATCTAACAAATCATGTATAGTATCTGCATGCTGGATACTAGAGAATGCTGATGAAAGCAATCAAAGAAGATTTAATAAATGAGTGGAGAGACATACTGTATTCATGGATTGAAAGACTCAATACAGTCAAGATGTTAATTTTCCCCAAATTAATCTCTAGATTTAACTCAATTTCCATCAAAATACCAACATGATTTTTTTTTTTTGTAGATGTAGACAAGCTGATTATAAAAGTTATATGGTAAGGCAGAAGAACTAAAACAACCAAAATGAATTTGAAAAAGAATAACCTTGAAGGAATAACACTACCTTAAGAACTATAAAGTTATAGAAATGAAGACAGAGTGGCATTGGCAAAAGGACAGACACACAGATCAATGGGACAGAACAGACAGTCCAGAAATATAACATATGTGTACGGCCCATTGACTTTTGACAAAGGTGCAAAGTCATTTCAATGGAGAAAGGTTAGTATTTTCAACAAATGGTCTTGAAATAACTAGACTCCATATGCAAAATAATGAACCTCAACTTAAGCCTTATACCTTACACATGAACAAATTCAAAATGGATAACAGATCTAAAAGCAAAATGTAACACTATAGAACTTTCAGAAGGAAACATAGGAGAAAATCTTTGTGACCCATCTTAAGCAAACAATTCTTTGACATAATACCAGGAAGAATAGGTTGATAAACTGAACTTCATCTAAACTAAAAACTTTGCTCTGTGAAAGATACTGTTAAGAGAATAAAAAGGCCAAGGTCATGGGTTTGTATCCTTGCACCTGCTAGCTGCTAAAAACAAAACAAAAGAGAGAATAAAAAGGCAAGCTATAGTTCCTCAAAAGATTAAACAGAGTTACCATATGACCTAGCAATTGCATTTCTGGGTATCACCCTAGAAACATGAAAACTTATGTTCGTACAAAAACTCATACGTGAATACTCGTCTTTGTAGTAGCTTTATTCATAACTGCCCCAAACTGGACCAAGCTAACTATTCTTCAGAGGCGGAGTAGATAAACTGAGGTACATCTCTACAATGGAATACTGCTCAGCAACAAAAAGGAACAAACTATAGATACTTACAATGGCTTGGACGAATCTCAAAGGTATCCTGCTGAGTGACAGAAGTCAGTCTTAAAAGGTCACACACCGTATGACCCCTTCTATGGGGCATTCTTGAAAAAACTACAGATGGAGATATATTAGTGGATGCCAGGGGCTAGAGGTGGGTTGAAGTTGCAACCACTAAAGTGCAGCACAGGAGTTTTTTAGGGAAATGGAAGTTTTAAATCCTGATTGCAGCAATCATTGCATGAGTTCCTGCACGATTTATTTAATTTAATTAATTCATTTATTTCAAATATTCATGAGATAGAAAGCTGATTGTCCACCCTCCTGCCCATGATGTACGGGCCAGATTCATATTGGGGACATACCCATTACCAGAAATTGCTTTTGTACCCTTTGTCCCCTTCCAAATATCTCCCAACCTCCCTCCCCATCCCCCCTCAACTTCAACTTGTAGCCCTAGGAATGTTTCCTCCCTCTGTTGGACCATGGGACTACTGTGGTCTTTCTTTCCTGCCCTCCTTTCTCTCTTAGCTCCCACATATTTGTGAGCACATGAGGTATTTAACCCTCTGTGCTTTGCTTGTTTCACTCAACATAAGTTTCTCCAGGTTCATCCACACTGTTGCAAATGGTAGTATTTCATTCTTTTCTATGGCAATAGAGTAGTATTCCATAGTGTATATATATAACACAGTTTCCTTATGGACATTTAGGGTGTTCCATATCTTGGCTATTGTAAACAGAGCTGCAGTAAACATGGGAGTGTAAGTATCTCTTCAACATGATGATTTCCATTCCTCTGGATATATACCCAGAAGAGGGATTGCTGGATCATGTGGAAGATCTATCTGTAGTTGTTTGAGAAACCTCCATACTGTTTTCCATAGTGGCTGTATTAATTTACATTCCCACCAACAGTGCAGTAGTGTTCCCTTCTCTCCACACCCTCACCAGCATTTGTTATTCACAGTCTTTTTGATCATAGCCAGTCTAACTGGGCTGAGGTGGTATCTCAGTGTGGTTTTAATTTGCATTTCCCTGATGACTAGTGATGTTGAGCATTTTTTCATGTATCCGTTGGCCATTTGTATGTCTTCCTTTGAAAAATTTCTATTCAGCTCCTTTGCCCATTTTTTAATTGGGTCATTTATTTTTTTTACTGTATAATTGTCTGAGTTCTACATATATTCTGGATATTAGTCCCTTGTTGGATGCATAGTTGGCAAAATTTTCTCCCACTCTGTAGGTTGTCTTTTCACTCTGTTGATTGTTTCTTTTGCTGTGCAGAAGCTTTTTAGTTTGATACAGTCCCATTTGTTTATTTTTTCTTTTGCTGCTTGTGCTTTTGGGCTCATGTTCATAAAGCCTATGCCCAGACCTAACTGCTGAAGTGTTTCATCTATATTTTCCCTTAGTAATTTTACAGTTTTGGGTCTTATACCTAGATCTTTAATCCATTTTGAATTGATTTTAGTGTATGGTGAGAAATGCATATCTAGTTTCATTCTTCTGCATATGGATATCCGGTTTTCCCAGCACCACTTGTTGAAAAGGCAATCTCCTGCACATTTTAAAACTTAGAGCTGTACACACACAAAAAAGCAACTGTAGTCTATACTTGCTCAAAAACAAATAACAAAATAAGAAACTAGACATTTGACACCATAGTCACCAAACATGCAGATGTTTACACAATTGTGCATCAGGATGTGTCTGGGTGGGTACGAGTAGCCCTGGGATTGATGATAGTGTTAACGGGCAGGGCTGTCTCAGTATTCTATCAGAAGCCAGTGATGCAAAACTGCATTGAAGACATGTGAATTCTGTGCTGCAGTCAGCATGGTGAGACCCTCAGATACCTCCCCTTACAACTTTCTCTTCATCGTGGTTCCACTGAGGCTATGTGGGTGGAATCTGGGCATCAGCGAAGATATTTAGGGACCATGCTTCTTCCTGCCTACCTCCTGGCTCATGCCCCCCACACCCTCGTCTACACAGCTGGGACTAAAAAATAACCAAAGCAATTCAGGCAGATGCCACTTCTTTAAAAACATCCGTGATTTGAACTCAACTAGTTTTCAAAACAAAAACCTAACTAAAATTTTTATTTTAATTTCCCTAATGCTGAAACTGTTTTAGGCATGACAAGAATTCCAAAACAAAAAACTGTCAATGTTTTTTATAACCTTCAGAAGGCACTTTTGCACGATGCCTTTTGTTGCTTTGTTCCTTTGAGAAAGTAATCACTCTTACTTTTGTTTTTCACCTCCCTGAGTAACTTAAACCATTTGTTCACTGTTGAAGATTTATGAGGTTGCCATCTGCCAGTTTACTCTTTTTTTTGCACATAACTGACAATTAAAATAGCCATAGGCCAGGGGAACAGCAGGTCAAAGCCACCTCCTATGAGCTGATGGCCCTTTCTTTCCATGAGCAGATGATAGTGGGATGAGTACAAGGTGGATCTTTAACTTGCTCTTCTACTGTGTCCATAGATTTATTGATGATTTTATCATTACCACTTAGTTTCACAGGAAAGCAGACATCAAACAAAACCGACACATGACAACCTCAGGGGTTTTAGCTTTCTCTAAGACAGTGTCCCCCTGGTATTGCTCTAAGTGCACTCACTTCTGCATCTGAAAGACACATTTCTGAGAAAAATGCAGAAATCTCCTTTTTTATGGACCCAAATGCTATTGGGTTTGGCTGTTTCATTTACCTGCAGATAACACCATAATGAGTAATTATTTTGCTTTGTGAGATTTGAACAGAACCCTGGCTACAGCTTTGGATAAGAATCTTCCACAAGGATTTTGGTGTCAACAGCAGAAAGCTGCAGCACACTTAGGGCTGTGCCTAGTTTGTATACAATTTGCATATTCTCATGAGAAAATGGCTTTCTGTCCGTGTACTTATTTTCATGCAGCAATTTTTATTTTTTTAACTTCTTAAAGCATCTTGATAGTATCTTTCATTCTCACTGAGGCACAGGGGTGTAAAAATAATTGTATTAAACTTACAGATGAAATGACTTGCCTGAACCTAGGTTGGGCCAACCAAGGCAGAGCTAGAGAGCAACCTAGGGGCTGCTCCTGGTTTTCTAGCACCAGCTTCATAGTTCGCGGGGACTCAACAAAAATGCAAAACGAATGGCACAGCTGAGGCACCCAATCGTCAGGGTTGTCTGGTTCCCTGGAACTACTGAGCCAACCATGATCTCTGTGATCTCCATATTCAGGATCATCTGTGTGTCCAGTGGCACTGGACACCTACGGACAGGCCTTGTGAAACATAAACTACTTTAAAAGATGCTGTTGCTTTTGTATGTGTGGCCACTGAAATTTCTGTTTCTAGGATGCTGACAGGCCTGGCAGCCAAACTGCGCCAAGTTTTTTTTTTTTTTTTTTTTTTTTTCTTTTGTCTTTTTCCGTGTCCAGCAACGGATCGCAACCCTCAGTGTTGCCCCCATACTGGACCGGGGACCGGCAACGGGATTGCAACCCTTGGTGGTGCTCCCACGCCTCGCTCAGCCAGTGAGCGGGAACCGGTCTGTATGTGGGATCCGAACCCTCGGGCGGGAGCACCGCCGCGCTTCCCAAGCGGTGCACTATCCAGTGCGCCACCGGGCCGGCCCAAAACTGCGCCAAGTTAAACGTCATTGGGAACCATTCTATTGTGCTACCCTCTGAGCATACACAGACTTTAAAAATTAGAAAAGCAATAAAAAAAAAAGGAAAATGCTTTATACTTTCTTCTGTGATAATATGATGTCATTTTACTTGGGAAAATATCATTAATACTACTTAGAGATGGCCCCAAAATAATTTTCTAAAGTTTAATGCTCTTACGAAAAACGACGTCCTTAACAAAGTTAACTACTCCCTCAGGTTTTCATGACAAACCCAGATACATACCATCAGTTTGCTAAGCACAGCCACAGGATGTCATTTAATACATCCTAATTACATTTAGGTACACAGAGCTTTCAAATGGCCCGATTAAGTTGTGGTGCTATAGTGCCCACATCCAAGAAGCAGACAGTTTGGCTAAAGGCCCTCTGGGTGCAAGCTGGAAATCTTATTAGCAAAGATCTCTTCTGAGAAGCTGCCATCTCTTCTCAGTCCTGATTTAGGTCTTGAACAGCAAGCCTTGAGAATAATCTCTGGGTACTGGCTCAACACATGGATCTAAACCATCTGTACCTCCAGGTCCCTGAAATCAATGGCCAGAGATGGTAGGTGATGGCTGAGGGTGTCCTGGATTCCACATTCCCCAGAGGGCTGTTTCTACTATAGTCTTCTCAGCCACAACTGAGAGTCACTCAGGGATATAGTCTCTGGATTCACACAGGCAGCCTTTAGATCAGGGGTTCTCAATAGCGGTGATTTTGTTGCCAGGGGACATTCAAGAATGTCTGGAAATACTTGGGGTTGTGAAGGAAGGTAGGTGCTACTGGAATCTAGTAGGTAGAGGCAAGGACGCCATGGAACATCCTACAATGCACAGGACAGTCCCCACAACAAAAAACTGTCTGGCCCCAAATCTCAACAATGTCAAGATTGAGAAGCCCTGTTGTGACTATGAATTTACTGAAAATTCATGACACAATAAAATCTCAGGAAGGGTTTTCCTGTGTTTTCTGTGGCTGTGTGTCCTCAATTCAGATTGCACCATACATCAGCTACTCCCGGGTGGGAACCCGTAAGCAGCACTATGAAGTGGACCACATGGCCTCATGCATGTCTCACTCGCCATTCAGATTCCCTCTTATTCTCTGTGGCACACAAATCCAGGCCCGGGGTACCACTCCTGGGCCAGCTGTTCCCAAGGCCCACAGCATGCATGCTAGACACAGGCTCCACCTCTCACTGGCTAGTGAGCTTGGGCACAGATTAATTAATGTTAGGATTCACTGTCTTCATCTTTAAGATGGGGATCATAATAGTTTATACCTCCTAAGCTGTGATGTGCACTTGTGTAAAGCACCTACCTGGTGCCTGGCCAACAGTAAAAAAACTATGAAAATCAGATTTAGCTCTGTATGGCTAAACCTATATCCATCAGAATTACTGTTGCTATTTATTCCTTCCTGGATCAAAAGGGTGCTCAACTGGAAACCAGTCAGAAAGGGAAAAAGAATAATTTGGTTCATTCTAAAATGTAAGTAACGTAATGTATCTGAAACTCACCCCCCAACCCCCAGAGTTACATTTCAAGAAAGAGCAAAGGCAAAACCCAGAGAAATCAATCTTTCCTGATGGACTTTCAAGTTCTCATGACAAGGAGGGGAAGTATTTTTAAAAGGCGAAGTTGTCATCTTTTCCTTCAATCAGGCTGGCTCTGGCTGTCCTTGAAGCCTCTCTGTGTATGAAACTGCAGCTTTTGCAATCTCCAAAGGACCTTGTTAACCAAACAGTCTGGCCTGAGTGCGCTGGGCCCGCTGTGTCGCTTCTCCAGGATGAAGGACACTTGCACTTGGTTTGTCCAGGTTCACATAGCAGCAGGCCACTGAGCTCTCCTTCCTTGCTCCTCTGGGTGGGGGGGGGTGGTCCTACAGCAGGCTGCCTCACACGGAGGCCTGGCCTGCCCCTTCCTGCAGTCTGGCAGCTGCCTCAATGTCTCTCTTGTATCTGCCTGCTGTCAGCTTGCCATGGCCTGCCGCAAGCCCTCACTGCCTGGCTGCCTGCCTGGAGATGCCAAACTGCTTTGCTGCCTGGCCCGACCCCAGGGATCAGGATGCACCTTCCTCTCCTGCCAGGAAGGAGATGCATTTCTCTCTGTTATCTGTTCCTGGAATGGGAAGGGTTCTCAGAGTAGACCTGCCTGGGCTTTGTATGGGTTTCATAAGGCTGCCAGTACAAAGTACCACAAACTGAGTGACTTAAAACAACAGAGATTGGCTGTCTCTCAGTTCTAGAAGCTACAAGCCTAAAATCAAGGTGTCGGCTGGGTCATGCTCTCTGAAGGCTCCAGTGGAGGATTCTTCTTTGCCTCTTCCTAGTTCTGGTGGTTGTCCACAGTCCTCGGCATTCTGTGGCTTGTAAACACATCACTCTAGTCTCTGCCTCCACTTTCACATGGCATTCAGTTCTGTTCGTCTTCCTGAGTGTTCTGTCTTCAAATGGCATTCTCCTCTCTGTGTCTGTGTTCAAACTTCCCTCTTCATGTCAGGATACCAGTCACTGACTGTGTTTAGGAACCATGCTAATCCAGTATGATCTCAGCTTAACTTGATTAAATCTACAAGAGCCTATTTTCAAATAAGGTCATATTCAGGGTGGGCATGGATTTTGGAAGGACACTATTCCACCCAGTATGGGCCCCTAGGAAGTTTTCCCTGTGGAGGTCTCTTCTTTCCAAAGCAAAAAGGCACACCTGGCCAGTTCAGACCCCTCTGCATGTGTGTTGACCGCTCCCCCAACACCCAGGGCTGTGGCTGAGTCTGGCACAGTGGCCTGAGCCCTTCATTTTCTCTAGATTTTCTGTCCAAGGCTTGCTCTCCCACTCTGGAGTCAGGCTTCACTGGCTCCCTCTATGTTCAAGTCTTGCAAATAAGACTATGCATGAATAAACTCTAATCTCAGAGAGGCTTTAGAGAAATCTGGGGCTCCCTGCCAACAGACAGATGAGTTGGGTGTCACCCAGTGCTCCAAAGTAGTGTCCCCAGATCCCCACACTCACCCAGTAGGTCCCCAGGCTATACTGCCCTTCTGTAGGAATCTGTGGGCTGGGTCACTGGCTCCACTCACACCTTTTCCATTATTAGAATAAAATATGTAACCTGCTACAAAGTGGTACCAGCCCATGGTAAAGGGAGCACATGGCCTGGGGGAAGAACACAAACCTTGGCACAGCTGGTGACCCGTAGCTCCAGCTGGGCCACCTACAGCCATGTCACTTACAGCCATGTCACCCAGTCTCTCTCCACTGTTGACCTACAGACCAACAAACATTAATGCCTCCCTTGGCTTGGGTTTTCCAGTTCAGCTGAAACATATCTCTATATACTCCACCAGGTGTGAAGAGAGAAAAAGTCCTTTACGTAGATGTGAGCATGTATTAAAAACCCTACTCTTGAAAGTGTTTGGTTTGAAATGACATGAAAGAAGACCCTGGCAGCATCCCAAGGAGGGTGTGAATGTCTTCTTCCATTTTGACATAGGCAGAATGTGGTCACAGGGAGGTCAGTAAAGAACCAGACAGCGAGGATCTCTGGACTTCATAGGCAAAGTGAAGCTTCCCCCAGGAGTTAGAAAAGTGTAAGAATTATTAACATTATTCAGAGTCTGGCTGAGGACAGGAAATGGCAAGCCACCCTGCAAAGAAAGTCATATCAAACACAGTAATGCTTTACATATGAGACATGTTTTAGAACACAAACGATGCTTGAGAGAGCTTCTCTTACCTCAATTCCTTCTTTGTTTAAGGCATATTCATCAAAATTCAAAATGGCAATCTTAATTGTTCTTGGAGGGGGCAGCACCGTCAGACCAATATTGATAGCATTGCTCCTCTTGGAATCCAAAACAATGATCTCCTGCCTTTTCCCATCTGCAGCAGTTTTCTTCATGATAAAACAAGGAGAATCCATGATTAATGCATCATCATGGGTCCTTTCTGAGTTTCATTATTAACAGCAAACTCATACTTATTTAGAAATGAAAACTAATGGCCCCGATTCAGCTCATGGAAAGACTGGCTACTGCTCAGCACAGAAGAAAGAGGTCAGGGATTAGCTCTGAGAAGCCTCCAAGCTTGGGTCAGCAATGGAACTTCGAGAGTCAGACACATTACAAAACAAAAATGATTTTCCTTCAATTGGGAAAAATGTGATTTTTGCAAGAAAAAAAACTTGGTTTTTTCCATAGAAGCAGTGAAAACAAAACTAAAACTTTTTAGTGTTCCTTTCCTGTGGGCCTCGAGGTGTTGGAATGTATCTTGGTTGGCCTTAGCAAATATGGTGTGTGCCCAGAGACAGTTGGTACACATGCCAAGGAACAGGACTGATGAGAAGAATCCAGCATTGCTGTCCTGTCAGCCCCTCCAGATCCCAGCGGCATCATCTCAAGGACCCTCTTCACCAGTCAAACATCCCATGCCCTTATCCTAGAGCACCTCCATTTTTCCTGCCATACTTAGACATCTGTGCAGTGGCCCACTGGGTACATGTAAGGAGGCCTCCCAAAGAAGAAAGAAAAAAGGTGTGTGCTGGTGAAGATGAATAAGGGACCAATAGGCATAGAGGCTGAGGAGGGGGACGGGGACAGCAGTGTTCTGGCATCCTCATAGAGCCCTCATGTGTGGCTTCCCTGCTGGCCTGGGTGCTCCTCAGAGGCAGGCTCTGTAGCCAACCCAGGATTAGCACATGATGAGAACTAAGTATGTGTTACAGACTGAATGTTTGTGTCCCCTTAAAGATCATATGTTGAAGCCCTACCTAATGTGATGGTATTTGGAAGTGGAGCCTTTGCAGGTAATTAGGCTTAAAGGAGGTCATGAGGGTGGGGTCCTCATAATAGGATTATAAGAAGAGACCAGAGAGCTGGCTATCTTTCTCCTCCACATGAGGACACAGCAAGAAGGCAGCCATCTGCAAGAGAAGAACAGAGTCCTCACCAGGAACCAAATTGGCCACTACCTTGATCTTGGACTTCCCAGCCTCCACAACTCTGAGAAGTAAGTTTCCATTGTTCAAGCCACTGGTCTGATATTTTATTATAACAGCAAACTACGATAGTGTGTGAGATGCTAAGCCAATACTTGTCACTGTCCAGAGCTTGTGACAACAAGGCCTCCTGCTTTCCCCTTCAGCCCTCAGGAAGTTAAGTGCAGGTGGCAATGGGGGGCAAGTGGGAGAAGACCTGGCTCAGCAAGCTCCCTGTTCTTGCTCAGGTTTCCCCTGAGGCCAACACATGTGGGAGGATGACAATTTTGATTCATGTAATAAGCCTAGGGTGAGAAACATAAATGAGGCACAGTGACTCTCCTAAAGGAAAAGATGAATTCAGCACGGTGATGGGGTGTGCTCACTATGCGAGGGGGCTCAACAGTGGGGTGACTGTAACTCACCCTTGAGCTGGGCCCTAAAGAATGTCTAGGATCTATCCTGGGGCTGGAGATAGAAAGTGGCTTTGTCTAGGTTGTTGGGAACTGCCAGGGATAGGCTGGAGTTTGATAGGGTCACCACCCAGAAGAGGGGTTCCAACCATGCTCTGCAGGCAGGCCCCGCCAAGCAGCTGACCACTGCTCACCATTCGGTCTTCCGTGCTGAGGCCTCACCCTCCCTCTGAAGCAGGGAACCTGGCTGGGTCTGGGAGCAGCTGAGCCATCTGGAGAAGCTGGCCTGCTGCAACACCAGGGAGAAATGGGCTTACATTCTACTTAAGTCCTCCTGGGTCCTTCCAAATCTAATTGCTAAAATTCAATCTTAGATCTTTAAATTACACATTTGGGAATAAACTCAAATTTCTCCATGAAGAAAACAACTGAAAGCATCCCAGCTGTTTTGGGGCCTGGTGGCCAGGAGGGGCAATTCCCACAAGTGTGGTCATCAGCTGTGAACAGTGGGCCCCAGGGACACACAGAGTAGATGCATCCCCAGTGTTCAGGGCAAGCTTCACCTTCTACAGAGTTAAAGAAACTTATCAGGAGCCCCCAAAATTCTCAATTTAGTTTTTCAATTGAATTGGAAATACTATGTTATGTGTGGAATGCTAAGGAGAAAGGTTAGACACAATACCAAACACAGGCAATTAAGAAAGATGTTACAACAAGCAATGCCAGCACTGAGGTGTGGGGGTGCCTACCCCCAATCCATCCCCTCTTCCCAACTCACCAACAGGGACCTGAATTTTTTCAGGCTGACAATATGTCAGTTAAATCAATTACCTTCCTGGACCTCTAGCAGCTAAAGCTGGTCCTGTGACTTGGTTCTGGCTTTTGTTTTCCTGACTAAAAAGAGAGAAACCTAGCAGGCCTTGCCTTTGCCCTTGCCCCTTCTTCCTGCCTAAAATGTAGACCCGCAGGTGCAGCAGCAGACATCTCATGAGCATAAGGAATGAAGCTGCGTAGGGGGGCAGCAGCAGGGGTTCCCTGGGCAGCATTGGCCTCTAGCCCCTCACCTACACAGTCAGAGAAGGAAGAGTGGTCCTTGGGAAGGAGGTTAGGAAATACAAATGCCCCTTTGATGGCATCTAGAAAGAGGGGGTGAGATGTGGTGGGGCAGAGGTGGAACAGGCTCGGGAAGAGGAGAGGCAGCAATGCTTCTAGGGAGGAAGTCAGGAAGTTGTGTTGTTTTGTTTTGCATTTTATTTGAGACAATACCCCCCACCCCAAGACAACCTCCAAATAAGGAAACAAAACTCAAAACCTCCTGAAATATCTTCTACCTGAAGAAAATGACAATATTTTCTTGAGAGTAATAAAAGAAGACTTGAATAAATGAGGGACATCAAGTTCCTGGATAGGAAATTGTAATGTCATAAATATGCTATTATGTCCCATCTAATACATTTATTTAGAGGAATTCTATCAAAATACCAATAAGATTTGTTTTTGGAATTAGAAAAAATTTTCTAAAATTAAAATGAAAGAATGTATGTATAAAAAAGTCAACAATGTTCCTAAAAAGTAGAGTTATACATATATATCTACCCAATCCTATTAAAAACTTACTATAAAACTGATGAAGTGTGTAGCACGGGCACTAGAATGGCTGAGATGACAGAACAGAGTAGAATTAAGAGTACAGAAAAAGCTCTTATTCAACAGTCCAGGGCATTCCGACAAAGACACCAGGGTCAGAAATCCAGAATCTAGCATGAAACATCAATTTCTAATATGGAACCAAAAAATGTAACTTTAAGTCAAACAAACCAACATTGTGAGTGAACATTATGACAGACTGGATTGACTGTCATCTTCCTTCTCAGGAAGAGAAAAGGCCAGGAGAAAGCAGGACCACAAGCTTGTGTGAGAATGGCCCAGGTCAGCATGGTGGGAGTACACCACACCCCAGGAGACCCCTAGCCGACTGCGCACATCTCTCCCTTGATGACTGGAGTCTAAAAGACACCATCAACAATGGTGCATGCTGGATTGACTGTCATCTTCCTTCTCAGGAAGAGAAAAGGCCAGGAGAAAGCAGGACCACAAGCTTGTGTGGGAATGGCCCAGGTCAGCATGGCGGGAGTACACCACACCCCAGGAGACCCCTAGCTGACTGCGCACATCTCTCCCTTGATGACTGGAGTCTAAAAGACACCATCAACAATGGTGCATGATGCCAAACCCTGCGCAGAAGCAGAAGAGGCTGGGGAAAAGCTCGGTCCCCTGACAGTCTCTTCTCTTTTTGGCTGTGTGTCTTCCCATATTTATTTATTGCCCCTCTTTGATACATACCCCATTTCCTTAAACAGGTATTTCGTAAATGACTGTTAGGTGCCTAGTCCTCCAGTTGGAATATTTCCACGGGGACTAACAAAATGTGCATACCTGTGGAGGGCCGGGATGCCCCCGACACCGATGGTCAGCTCTAGGGCATCAGGAAATTAGGGTTTCTTTCTCAATTCTTTGATAAAAGTCAATCAGCCACTCCTCTGCCTTCTTCCTCAGCAAGTTCCAAGAACCATCAGGGAGGAAGAGACGTTAGATTTAGGTGCCTGTGGGCCTAGCTGCAGGCACAGGATGCTAGACTAGGGGCTGGCTGGATGTGGAAGGCACAACAGTGTCGCTGGGCAAGTCAGCCAAAGGGTGGGTGCGAGGCAGTGTGGGAGGAAGGGGTGCAGGGCTACCTCTGAACATGCTACTTTCCCAAATATGTCCAGAAGTGTTCAAGGGAAAAGAGGGCTTGATTCCTTAAGGGAGGAGGGGGAACCTGGGAAGAAGCCAGGCCGTTTTAGTTCCAGAAAGCCGAGTTAAGCCAAACTCTTTAACAGCAGAGTTCTTCCTTCGAAGCTCCAATGACCGGGGAGCCTCCAACATGCCCACAGCAGCCCTTCCCCAAAAGAGGAAATACAGTCTCTGGAGAAATGCTTCAGGCTCAGCTGCCATGTAGGGCGTCTGTTTGTTTTTGTTTTTGATTTGGCCAAGAACACTGCAGGGAGAGGGGGCAACGATATGGACAGCCGAGATGGGTGAGAAATAGAGGTTATCCTCTGTGGAAAGAGGCTGGCCAAAAGAGCAGAGAGCTCTTAGAGAGAAGGGGTAGAAGGAGGTCATTAAGGCAATTCGGCTCCTTTCTCAAGCTGGCCAAGGGGGCAAGGGTCCAGCTTCCAGGAAGACAGAGGTGAGCCCCTCTAGGATGAAGCTTCACATAGATGGGACCCGAGGCCAAAAGAGTTACAGGATTGCTGAGAAGCACAAAGGAAGTAGCTGACTTAAGTAGCGGCTGCCAAGGCTCAGGAGAAGGGCTGTGACCATTCTCTGCAGCCCCAGATTCAGCTGGTGGTCGGCTACGTTTACTGGGGTTCCACTCTCTAGATCTAGCAGGCCCTGCAAATTCAGCCACTCCAAGCAGCAGAGAGTCACATATGACACAGGAGTATCTTCTAGAACAGCTAAAGCCAGGTACTTAGGTTCAGCTTGAAATGAGCAGTGCAGGGCCACAAGGCCACCCAGGTGGACCCTTGATAGGACAACAATCCTTGACACAGAGGATGATAAAACACCTCATGGGGAGAAGATGCAAAAGTCAATTTTGGGGACAGAACAAATTATTGCTTCCAAGAACTATTCTAGTATCTGTAAGAAAAGACTGAAACTTGATTCTGAATGGTTACTGGGGGAGGATGACCACTATGCAAAAGGGACCACAACCTGGTTAATATCTTAGAGAAAGGAAATGACCTTACCTCTTCCTCACAGTCATTCAGTTTTGGAAAAGGGAAGGGTGTAGATTCAGGCAACAGTTAAGAAATGGTGGAAAGAAAAATTTAAATAATAAATTGCAGTCACTAACCTTAATGTTTCCTGACATGTTACTACAAAGAATCATCCCTTTGAATTTTTAATGAGTAATTTTACTAGAAATAGAGGATGTAATATTTAAAAATTGGATATTCAAAACACAGATGTTGCTACCCCAGAAAGTGTTGTGATCGAAAATATTAACTGGGCTAAAGATAGGATTTAGTAAGAGAACTCCTTCCGTCGTGGAGAATACTGCTAAGTTTGAGAGCGAGTCCATGAAAGCCGACCGACCTCTGCCAATGCTTCTCAGCATCACTGTCGGAGACCCTGGGTCTGGCTCAGCAAGACCGAAGTTCTAGAAATGGTAAATCATTCGTCCTCACTCCCTGCTCACTGCCAAAAGAGTGATGCCACAGGGTATTTTCGAAACTGTCTGTTGAGAAAGTGACAGTTAACAAGGATACAATGATACAGATGTCACAAAGATGTGACAACTATGGAATTTTCCTAAAGTCTTGCAATGAGGGAGACTGTGAGATACACAGGAAAGAATTAAGGCAAAAAACCCAAAAACAAACAAAAAAATGAAACCCCCAAACCTAAGTCTAAATGAAGGATGAAAAGCCTTTAGTCAGGAATAAAATTTCTTGCCAGAATAGGCCCATCTTATTGTTAAGGAAAAAAAGTATTAATTGCTCTATTTGCCCTTTGAGTCTTCTAGAGCAGAGACCAACTGTTAAACAGACTTCCTGTGTTGATTTAGTTTATCTATTACCTAACCCGGAGGCTTCTGAGAGAGGAAGGGCGTGCTCTTTATAATAATGTTGGCACAACAGGCAAACACCAGGACTGTCCTGGTCACACGAGGCTGTATGATGACCCAGCTTAAGTCCCAAAGTTGTGCTTGGAATTTCCAGGTAGAGTTCAGGTTTTTAGAGATGTCAAGTAAAATAACTTATTCCCTGTGTTTTAAACTTGAATGCAGGGTAGGAAGATTTTTATCTCTTCTCAGAAAAATAAAATGGGTCAGGGTATCAACGAGCATCATGCAATGCTCCTCTGGTGCCTCATTTTTCACCTTAAATCAGTGGTTCACAATCTTGGTTATACTTTAGAGTCCCTAAGGAGCTTTTAAAAATAACTCAGGTGAGGCTTATCCTCCGAACAATTAAATTATCTCCAAATTTTCTTTAAAAGTTCCTGTTAATTGTTTCTGATATACTTAGAAACTTCAGGGTAAATAAAGCTAAACAAATTTCTCCAAATTCATCCTGGAGCCCCCTTCCCATGGTGAACCTAATGATCCCAAGGGAGTAAGACAGCATCCGGTCCACATAGGGGAAACCCAGAGGGCTCTTCCTTCTGGTCTCCTGTTCCACTCCATGCCTGTCTTGGTCTGGCTGTAACTTGGGACCTAGAAACTGCCCTTTGGAAGCAGGAAAGATTTTGCTCCCCATGATTAGGCACAAGAGATGGAAGGCCTCTTTCCTGGTGTTCCTCAGGATGATGTCAAGCCCAACAGGGTCCTTCCCATTGCTCCCAGGAGCTTTCTGCCCTGACATCTTTCTCTGGGGTCACTTTAACTATCTCCTGTGTGATTCACCACATCTTTAGACCAGCAGTAGAAACATAAGATGATGAAATTTAGCACAGGATTTCTGTCTTCCTCCACAAAACATAATAAAAGTCATCTTATTAAAAAGCTATATATATCCTGCTGAGAGAGAGAAGTGGATCCAGCTCCAGACACTATTTTGAAAGGAAACCAAAAAGCACATCTTTTTGGTCTTATTTTCAGTAAGTGACCACCCCTGCCTTGGATTTGGCTCATGAATCTTTGTTTTGGGGTGACTTGGATGGTAACAGTCGTGCCCTATAACACTGGTGTTAGCTTTTTGATGAAAACAAAAACCAATTCCCTTTGTTTTGTGCTATCTTGGGAAGTCTACTTCTTTTTATTTTTGTTGTGCTCTATTGTATTTAATGAAAAACTCCTCATAAGCCAGAATTCGGAAGTGGCTGTTTACAGCTGTGTTTTATGAAAATCATAGTCAAAGATTAGAAACAGAAATGAAAGTGCTTATATCTGTACTGGTAACAAATACAAAACAAATTTGACTATCCTATATGATATCTTTTAATTCTAATTTGCATTCTCACCTTTTATAACATTTTGTAAATTGGCTCCTGCTCACATTTCCTATCCCAAAAAACAAAGGTATGGATGGATTCATGGGTCTCACTGTAGAACATTCTGGAATCAGTTTGGTAAACCTTTCAATATATTATTTTTCTGAGGCTCCCACTTTATAAACACTAGTTAAACGTTTGTCCATTAACTAGTCAATAAAGTATTGTAAGAGGTCACTATCTGCTTCAGACAAGAATGGAACTTTGGACTACTAAGAGAACAGAAGCTACAACCTTATCACCAATCAAATCAGCCTCAGTTGGACCAAGAGAAGGAGGGAGGTAACCACTCCTTTTGGGTCTTCACAAGGAAACTTTTAATCTTGCCATTTTCTTTGTAAAAATGAAGTTGGAAGTGCTTCCACCACCAGACGGTTACTCTCGTTTATTCCTCCCAAGCCCGAGTCAAGGGGCAGCCTCTCCCGAGCATCCTCCAAAAGTGATCAGCAACCACAAGAAGCCTAGAGACACAGCCAGCCGAATAAGTGCACAAAAGGAGGAGGAGGGGAGGAGGGGGAGGAAGAGGGGGAGGAGGAGGGAGGGGAGGAGGGAGGGGAGGAGGGGGGGGCTGGCCAATGAGACCAGAGGGTGAGAGGGCGGTGGGAGTGAGGCAGGTCATGGGTAATTCCTGGCAACCACAGACTGCTGCCTTAATCCTGGCCAGTCAGTTCCCAAATGCCAGGCTGATTGGAAGAATTGGAGGGGGCCATGTGGACAGCTCAGCACCATGAGTTGCCCGTCCTGGAAAAGTAAGGACGCAGATACACCAAGAGTGGGTGTCCAGCACCACTTTCCTAGGTGTTATCTTCTAGAAAGGACAGAGCTGGGTCTACTTTCAACTGAAGGTCAGGTCTGATTGGGTATGGTTTTTTATATCTGATCCTAGCACTTTGGATTTATAAATGGGAAAGCTCTAATTCTGACTTGAGGGTGATTCCTGAGGCTGGAAATGATTTAGATTCACATCCTCACTGAGATAGGGCAGAAATACCAACCAGCAAAGTGCAGCTAATAGTTTAAGAACCCCAGCATGTGTTTTAAGAGGAAGTTGACCGATTACAGCTCCCCCAGCTGGCTTTTCAGCATCACACAGCAGTGACAGGCACTTAACTCTGTCACTTGGCTCCTTGTTTGAAGGGCACTCTTGTCCTGAGGATGCTGCACATATTTTTTGATTCAGAATTGGTGTCCAGCTGGCAGGGCGGGGAGCCTGACTCAGGCAGCTTTATATTCTCCCAAAAAGATGATAAACCGATGGTGCAATACATGGAGTTAGAATTAATTCATGATAATAAGCTCTTGCATGCTTACTCTAAGTCGTACCTTATAAACTGCTTTCTCATACCCCCAGTTCCTGAGAAGACAGTATAGTCATCTTAAATCTGTTTTAAAACTGGAATATACCCAGAATCACAAGGGTTTCTGAAAAACCAGTTCTTTCAGATATGTAAAGGAAGCTCTATTAATACAATGAATTAGAAATAAAATCTGTGATCCAGTATCTTGCAGTTTCTTTTCCAGTGTTCATTAACTATGACTTTACCTTTGATGCCCAATAATTTCATGTACAGTGTTTCCCATTTATAAAAGTGGATATAACATTAAAAGCGGATATAACATTAAAAGTGGATATAACGTCTCTGTTAACAATACCACAACAGCAATGTGTACAAGATTCTCAAACATTTATGAAAAATAAGAAATCTAGATGTGTGTGTGTAATATTTATAAAATGCTAAATATATGGCTATTGGGAAACATCTAGATAATTGCAGTATGCTGCCTCATCCAGGGAATTACCCAAAGAAATGTTACTTGGATTATTGCCTTCATGAAAGCATTGGGTAGTTACAGCTGAAGTTCAAACTACTACTATCAACCATAACCAATGAAGGTAAGGTTAAATAAACATATTCACTGTGTTAGGTAAGTCAGCAAGTCCACTTTCCTCTAGTTAACGTCAACATCAGCTATTGGGCTATACTGACATTGCTTGGTTAACCTTTTTGTCTTTTCCCCTGCATTATCTGGTTCTTTGAAAGCTACTTTGTCTAATGTTAGCAAGCTGGTATCCATGTTAGCTAATAAAGGTCTCTTACCCAGGTAGCTTACACCTAGAACATAGCACAAAGAATACTATACTAAATGTCAGATTTTTATACCAATGGACTTTTACCAAATAGCAAAAGCAACACAAAAAAGAGTATGTATACAGAACAAATCTCTCTTCAGCCCTACCCAACTGCAAATCAAGAAGCATGCTGGGGACTCGCAGTACCTTTGTGACAGACAGTTCCTTGGATTTAGACTCAAACAGGTGCTCCAATCTGGAAGTGTCCACCTTAATGGGTTCCAGTTTCGACCACAGGAATTCTCTGCAGCGTTGGTTGTTTTTACACGGCCACTCAAATGGCCGGACTTCATTCCAGAACAAACGGATGGTCTTCTTTTTCTTAGCGAATGCGGGCTGACCCCTGGGTACCTGGGACCACCCTAAGCCCTGAGGAGCATTTAACACTGGAGGAGGAGGAGCCAATAAATTAGCGGGGACTGGAGGGGGGGGCACGCTGTCCAACAGGGGTGGAGGGGGCGGGGGTGGCAGACCCAGAAAGGTGGGTGGGGG